TCAGATCATATGACAGGGCGAAGTCGTAGACAGATCTCCCCGCATGATCAGTGGTACGAGAGCCGAGCCATTCGGTATGGTGGGCATTGAATGTCTTGTTAATATTGTGACTTATGTTCGCGGATTATAGTCATATGACTATAGAAATATTAATATACAATATGTTATGCTTATGAAATGCATTCTTTAGCAATAAATACTAGTTACTTATACCAATAGTAATATGGTACATGTTTATAGTGAAATGTTTACGTCTATAATATCAATCAGCAGTAGTCAAAGTGTTAAAACTTGGGATTGTTCCCAACCGTCGACCTCACGTGAGAATAAGTTTCATCCGTCCCACCTTTTAGTCTCAATATCACCAATAAGGTGACAGATAGAACTGTTATGAAATAAAATAAGTACCAACCGTCACCTCGACGCAAACGTGCGGACAGAGCGGGGTGACGGTTGGGAATAAACCAAAACTTAACTTTTGTCACTGTTAATCTTAACAGAGTTTAACTATATTTTGTTGTAATACAGAGAGTGTAATTTATGTTTAATTTTTTAACTATCTTTGAGTTTAATTTATTTGACTCCTGTTTATGGGTCCATTTGTATTTGACGGTTGAATATGTTTTGTTAAGTAGGGTGTTCTTCTCGGAATGTGCAAAACACAGTTCATTGACTTTTTAACTAGTACACCTTTATTCCCATAAAATTAAAAAAAATAATAAGATGCCTGTTACTCAGTGATATAGTAAATTTATAAAGGTGAAAGAAAGTTTGAAATCGAGCCAGTAGTTTTAAAATTATTTCAATACATACAAAAATACAAATCTTTCTTCTTTTTAATATTTTCAGGTGGAGGTATTATCATATGACCACAAGCCTAATAACGAGGAGGAGCTCCGCAGGATCACAGCTGGTGGAGGCTGGGTTCAGCTCAACCGAGTGAATGGTAACCTTGCTCTGTCCAGAGCACTCGGAGATTATGTCTTCAAGAGGAACTATAGATTGACCGCTCAGGAACAAGTTGTCACTGGTAAGTTTTGTGAAGAAAATAGATTTTTTTAGCCTAATTTATGATGTACTAGCTGTTCCCGTGCCTCTTTATCCTCTTGAAATTATATAATATATTTATTTTATTGTGTATATTTGTCAAATTGTCAATTGTAAATGTCAAAATGACTGTTTCCATAATAACCTTGCTTCTTAAATGTTGGCAGCTTGTATTTTATGATCCCTTTCCCACATGAAGGATTTTTTTCCAATTTATTTACTCCTTTATTTTAATAGCGTGAAAATATAAAGCCTATAGCGTTGCGTCAGTATAGGATTTTTTTTTTTAAAGAAAGAATTATTTAAAGATATGCTATGGTTGCTGAAATCTTACTCCATAAAATAGTCTGTGTTTACAATTTTTTTTATTAGTATAGAAGTATATATTGATGGAACAGTATTTAAAACTTTTATTTTTTTTCATATTTCAGCATACCCAGATGTGATTGTACGACCATTGACTGAAGACTGGGAGTTTATTGTTATTGCATGTGATGGTATTTGGGAGGTCCTGTCAAATGATGTGAGTTTTTTAATAGTATATTTTTTTTTATTATTTTCGATTCTTAATTTTTCAATTATATTTTTTTTGTTCTAATTTTTTTTTAATAATAATAATAAAGATTCTTTATTGTCAATCATTGATTGAAGGATCAATATTACTTTGGCTCCTTAACTAGGAATTCCTGTGTTTAAGGAGCCAATGCCTTCCCTTTCAGTTACCTTTTAACAACAAAAAAAAATAAAAAAAAGTTTAGTATCGCATGAAACCATATTGAATATCTTTGTTTCAATTATACTTTCTTTGTATTGCAGTTGTATTTTTGTTTTCCAATTTATTTCTTATTAATTACATTTTTTCAACATTCAATATCAACTATATTATTTGTTTTTAAAAATGTTTTTTTTTTTTAATTTATTTTTAAATGATGATTTGTCTATTTGTTCGTGTGTCAGGAGGTGTTGTCGTTCTGCCGCGCGCGGCTGCTGAGCGGCTGGGCGCCGGCGGCGGTGTGCGAGGCGCTGATGCAGCGCTGCCTGGCGCCCAACTGCGCCACCGGCGGCCTCGGCTGCGACAACATGACCGTGCTGCTGCTCTGTCTCCTCCCCTTCCCCAGGATAGATGCCATCGTGAGTTCTCTGCCCATACACTGATAGGACACGATGTTATACAATAACGTACCAAACGAACAAGCGGCCACCTTAAGTTAATATGGCGCAATAGGGAATATGCATGTATTTTTTTTTCTTTTTTTAAACGATTCTACTTGTTATAAAATAACCACAAAAAAAAATTGACGCCAAAATATTCAACCATTGAGTTAAAAATAATAAAATAAAATTACGACCATTTTCGAGCGACTAAAACGCGACCGGAGTTGTCATGAGACGATTGACGTCAATCGTCTATTCCATTCATAACTTACGCTCAGATGTCACTTCGACGTTAAACACAACAAAGTTTCTCAAGGTCAAAAAGTCAAAAATCGATTCATTTTTATTATTCCTGGTACAAATAAGTGATATTTAATAATTCTATTCATTATTTTTTTATGTTAAAGTTGGTTTTCATATAGTGTTTACAGTAAAATACTTAAAGAGTGTATTTCTATATAAACTAACGTAAATGAACTGTGTATTGTCTACACAGCGACGCCATATTAGATAAGCCACTTGCCTCGACCAATAGTATGCGTTTTAGAACTTGGCGAGGGAATTTGAAAAAAAGACACTTTTTAATGATTTAATTTTGCCCCTAACTCACATTGTATATTTAAAAAAAATCATTGCAGAACTGTTTTTATAGTAATAATGTATACTTAAATTTTTTTTTGGTACAATTTGGCGTCATATGCATATTGCCCATTGCAGGTGACGGAGGAGACGCACATAAAGAGGATATTTCCCCTTCCTATGCGTCTCCACCGTCACCCACTTTTTCATCCAATCCTTTTCTTATAAAAAAAGGTGGTACGGGAAAAGGACTAAAATTGGACCTCCGGCACTGGATAGGATATTTAGTGTTTATATCAAGAGCCTCAGTGGCTCAGGGGTTAGGCACTTGACTTATAATCGACAGGTCTTGGGTTCGAATCCCGCTGTACCAATGTGATTTTTAAATTTGATATGTACGTTATATGACATTCTTAAGGTGGAGGAAAACATCTTTATACAACACATATCTAAGAAATTCAAAGATATCTCTAAAATCGGTGTTAACTATGTCCCAATCACCACCTAACTTAGATAGGATAGGAGCCCCCCAGTGGGGATGTATAGAGTTACCTGGTGATGATTATTTCTGATGGTTATAGTTGGTGGTGGTGAGTTTTATAAAAAGTGGAGACCGAAGAATGTATGTATGGATTGTATGTAAGAGGATATGCTTGAAGGGAGTGGATTCAGATGACGGCTGATTGAAATGTATGGAAGGACAACTGTGCTGACCCTGTATAAGAGCAAGTTGTTGAAGAGTTTTCTGATAATAACTTAACTGTCAATAAGTGTTAAGCTGTCATTTTCAAATAATTGCTTATCCATTAAACAGATCTGTGTTTCTATCGCACTTGCGGGTTAAGTGGTTAAGAAATTAGCCACTTAAGGCCTGTCCCACCACTGGCTGATACTGCCTCAGATAGCTTAAAAATGACGTGACTGTCAGATAAGGGAACAAATTCCATAACATATTTTACACATTTGATTGTTATCAGATAATTTACAATTTGGTGGGACATGCCTCTAGTGTTTGTGATTGTATATGTGTTGATTGATACCTTGCTTTTTTAACTATAGTAATTTGGTTTTAAATATATATAAAATAGTGGGAAAATGTAGTAAAAAATATGTTTGTAAATATAAATATAATTTTGCAGTCCGCTTATACCTGTTTCGAGTCGTCTCGGCCTAGCCAAGTCTGGATGATGTCGCCGCGACGATTCTGTTAACTAAATAATAACATATTTATATTAAACTATAGTCACACTATTTCATTACTTTTTGGGGGTAGTTGGAAAAATATGCATATACAAAATTGCTTATCATTAAAACGAATGCATGAAAAATGAATGTAATTTTAGTAGTTTTTCTTTTAAATAAAAATAAGAAAGAAAGAAAAAATTTGAAAAATCATTTTATAAAAATATTGCGGATTGAAAATTTCAGGCGCTTATTTTAAAAAATATTAATTTTAACTCTGTAAATTTTACGTTATTGTTATTTTTGTCCATTAATAGTGTGATTATGGCCTAATTTGTCCATACAATTTCCCCTGTGAACTGTGATAGTGCGTCCAAAGACTTATTGAAGCCGATTGCACAGTGTTGTGTGAAAATTTGCATGTGCTTTTAAATTCTGCTTGTGTTGTTTTATAAATGCTTTTTAAACTATTCATTTCAAAGCATAATATTGAATGTAGTCCTGCAAACTTATTTGGCCCTTAAGTGGCGCTGTTATCGCTATTATATTAAAAAAAATGCAACGTTCTATTAAAAAAAAAATTGCTTATGCATACGCAAAACAAGATACAACTCTACTTGTTGTCATTATTAGGGTCCGTTCAGACTGACCTGCGTAGAGCAAAGCAGATTTTTTATCATAAAATTTAAGTTTTATGTGATTGTAACTAGGTTCAATTTTACTTTGCACGTCGAAAATAAAATTAAACCTTGTTTCAATAACCTTAATAATTGCGATAATATGCTCTACTTTACGTCCCCGTCTGTGTACAGACCCTTAGGCATTCCGTGTACTTTAGTTTTTATTTGCTCCGGGCCATGTAAGTTTGCACTATAGGCCAAATATTGAAACAAACACTTCATAAGCTCCGCTTACAATCTGACGAACGTCAGTTTTAATGCAGTTTGGATTTTGTGGTTTTATTATTAAAAAACCCTGTTACATATTAAAATGTTTCTGTATTTGGCCTTAAGACAATTTAAAATGGCTTTTTCTATGAAATTTCATGTTTTTTACTACCCCTTTTAAATATTATTTTGAGTTTATTACATTGAAATTTGTATTGACACATGCTGTCTCTTTTTTCTGCAAATTAACTAAAAGAGATGGATGTATCAATGCTTAATTTCGATGTCATTTAGTTGCAATTTTGTATAGATTTGAAATACAAAAGTTTGAAATTTCTAGTGCAATCGGCTTTTTTCCTGTATATCGTTAATATATTTTAGTAATTTAATTTTTTTGTTTAGTAAATTTAAATTTAAATTGACTATATTTAATTAACATTTTAGATTCGATGAAACCGAAAGTGCCATATTGAGATTGTAGTTTTTTTTAAAGAATTAAAAAAATTAATGTTTACAAAAATATGTATTTAGGCTTATTTTCAACTTGAAGATTGTTTTTTTTAAATACATTTTTTTACTATTATTCCTCTAATAGTAGAACTGTGAAAAAAGATACTATTTATTTAAAAAAAGAGTAAAAATTGAAAGTGAATTTTTAACAAAATTTTTGTGCAAACAAAAAATAAAAAAAAAAATTAGCAAAATTCATAACAGTGATTTTACATGGCTATCTGTTTATGTATAGCTTTCTTATATATGCTTTATAATTAAATATAAATGTTTTTTTTATTTATATACTTATGTAAATTGCATGTTGCTGCATGTTTTTGATTGTTTTTTGCGATTTCATTATAACCGGCTTTGGTTTGTTTTTGTACTCACTATGTGTTCGCATGCAAATAAATTGTTTACAGAGTCCAATGGTTTTTATTTATTTTCTATTGTTATAGAATTATGGGATATTTTTAATAAAACTAATAAAAAATAGAAAAACGGTAAAGATTATTTCAATTTGACGTTCCAGTAATGGTTTGTTCTTAAATGATTATAAAAAAATCTCTCTACGGTTTTTTTTTATTTTTCAAAATTTTGTCTTTTTTTGTAAATTCAAGATTTTTTTTGTGTTTTTTTTTGCAAATAACGTAAGTCCTATTAATATTATATGATAATTGGTAGTTTTTAGGTCGGAATTGATATTTGACTATGGCATTACAGGAGACTGTACCAGCGGAACAACTTCTAAATAATAAGTTTATGACGAACGAGGATTTGCTTTATATGGAAGAGGAAGAAGACCTTAAATGAAAAATACGATGTTTTCATTGTAAATGTATGTAAATAAAATAGGATTACGGCTTTGAAAGTCGTAAAGTTTAGAATTTTGGGGGTAGACGAAAAAAGTTCCTGAAGATGGTGAAAAAATTAGCTCTGTATCGTGTGATTTTAGATTTTTTTTCACTTAACGGCTAGTCGTGAAGCTAAATGCAGGTGTAAGCCTTTTTTCCACTGATGACAACTTGTACAGAATTATAAGAGTGCAGATTTGCGATTAGCTGCTAAGTGAAAAAGGATATTAGTTGTTTGTATATTGTGGTTTCTTTAAGTTACCTTGGAACTTGATACAAATTGCTATCTCATTTTATTTCTTTAAAAAAAAACAACGATACTTTTTTTGTACTTTTTAGACTGTGGCAATTCAGGAGTGTCTAGTTTTAACATGGCAATATTTTTTTTATTGAAAATGTCTAAATTGGAATGAGGATTATTTTTTTATTATTGTTAATTTACACTAAACATTTTTTTCTATTTTATTATTCATTTTTGGAAGATTTATTTTGAAAGATATATTATTTTAATTTTACAATTATTTTTACATATTTTATTGTTATTTTTATTCTTGAAATCTTTTATTTTAAATATTTTAAACGCATTTACGAGTGTTTCTTATACTTTCTGTTTCATGTTATTGATTTCTATATTGGAATGTATGTTAAAATTGTATTTATTTGATTTATTACACTTCAAATAGAGTAACTAATGGACGTGTGCCAACCATTCATGTCAGGGGTATAAAATCGAAGTTAAATTTCAAAAATCTGTTTTTAAAAACATATTTCAGCAGTATCTACAATTAAATAATGTAATTTATTGGTCTACTAAGCAAAAAAAAAAATAGTGAGTATTACAACATGTCTATTATTTTAATTTAAAATTAAAAATAATTGATTTAGTAAATTGAAAAAGATTTGATACCCCTGACTTTTTAAAGTTCAGAGTAGTCCATATAATTTTCAGTGTCATTTAAGAATTCCACAACATGTACTGTTTTTTACCTTATTAAAACTGAGTGTAAAATATTATTTCATTGGTCTGTATTTACAATGAAAAAAAAAATTGTACAGTTCCGAATATATACGATGGTTATTCGGAGTTCCATTCCAGTTAAAAAGGATTTAGATGAGATAATATAAAAGAGAAGGGAATAGTAAAGAGGGAGAGAGTAAAAGAGAAGGTACAACGCAGAGAGGTTAATCAAACAAAATTAGAACGAAGGTAACAGAAGTTTCTAGATACAAATATTAAGTTAATCATAAATAAATAAATAAAATAACATTTAATCCTTAAAAACACAACCAGAAATAACAAAAGAAAAACATATATGACATAGTAATTAAGTAGGGAAAAAAAATAAATAAAAAATTATAAGTATTGTGATGTTGACCGTATTGAGTCTACGCTCAGCTTTGAATGCTGGGTGCTACTCAATGATTCACCCAGCGCTGGTCTTCCGCGAGAACCCTGAGATCACCCGCATGCCAGCAGCGGTGGATAGGCAGAGATTATAAATTTAAATACGTTTACAAAATAAAAAAAATAATCCGTACAGAAACATGTTGCAAAAGACAATGCATTATCAGAATTCTGCCTCTGTACTTCTGGATGGTATTATTTTTAAAAGTCCCCGATAACATTTTTTTAATAGAACAAAAGATGCATAGAGTTTAATCTACTTTTTAAAATTGATATAAATATTAGAAGATTACCAACGAATTATTAAAATATATTGTGTATTGTATTGTAGAAATTACTATTTGCCGCTTTGTAATTTTTTTTTGGTAAAATGAAACAAAAACGTCGATTCCGTGCCTTTAAGACTAGTTTTAGAGTGTGAATATTTTAATATCGTTTTGTCTATATTATTTTTTCTAATTAAATTAGAAACTGAGAAACGATTGTAAAATTTTATCGACATCTCTGTTGAAAATTTCACTACTTTTTCATTTTTTTTTTATTTAAATTTCTGCCGTTATAAGCTTATGTGTGGTTTAGTAATTTAAATAAACAAGGTAAATATTAATGTAAATCTTGGGTAAATTATATTAGTGAGATATTTTAGTATTTAGACCTTTCTTAACACGTTGGATGCCATTACGAAGACCCGAATGCGTTAGTAAAACCAATATTCCGTGTCAAAATATATGGCGACCTTTAAGGTAGGTCTAAATATAGTATCAGCACGTGTGTATAATAATAAAATACATTTGAAAAATAAAAAAAATGTGTTCCAAATATGAAGTGTGAATAGGAAATTGTTTTACCTTTTTTTGGATAAAAAAATATGTTTTATCCAAAAAAAAAGTAAAACAATTTGTTAGGGTACAGACCTAAAAGGATATCTGTCCCGGTAGGCGTAAGTTGAAAAAAAGAGCTCACTAGCGCCGCCTATTAATGTCAAAAAGCTATCACAAGATCTTTGTTGTATAGCCATATATGTAAATTTATTTTGAATTTACAATCTTTTGATTAGTTCAGATTTTAATGCACCTTTTGTTAATAGTCTATCGTTATTAGTTAGAAAATGTTCTAACGCAACTATTCGAGTAATGACTCCAAAAATTAAACAAAAAATAATTGTTTTATCAGGGGCGGAGTTATGCCGTAACACACATAAAAAACATGATTCTTCCATCCTTTTTGAGTACCTCTTTTTGGGAAGTCGGTCAAAAATTGGCGACAAATAAATGCCACAATATTATTGTTTATAGCCTGTCCATTTATATAGGTCAGTGACTAGCTATCCTGCCTATCTCTCTCTCTCTCTCTCCGGATCGTTTACTCCTTCTTGAGGGTCGCGACCACTCTCATTGACAATCTCTTGAAGAGTGTTTCTCCACTGCTATCACCGGAACAGATATCCTTAAATACATATCTTACAGAAATCATACATGTAAGGATATCGCTTCATCTAGCAATACTATGTTGTGACATGTCTGTAAATTCACTAGTCAAGTTATTGTGTTAGTTGTATGTGTACAGTTATATGTTGGAATTAAAATATACATAGAAATACGTTATTTTATTTTTATACTCTGGAGTACGGTTCGTAAAGACAGAATAAATAATGGCCATTGGGTTACAGATTCAAAAAATATATAGGACAAGCATAGTAGACTTCATTTGAAACATTTTTGTATCTCACTAACGCTATCTGGTGTCAATCGCTGAGAAGCGTCTCGGCGTGTGAAAATATTGAGATACGAGCTGTTGCCCGCGACTTCGTACGCGTGGTATTAGAAAACATACAAAAAGCTAAGTATCCCTCGGGAACCGGACATTTCTTGGGGATGAAGCTTATCCATGTGTACTCCAGACTTTGTTTTATATCTATGCCAAATTTTAATAAGATATGTTGAACCGTTGCAGAATGATCGAGTAAACATTAAAAAACTAAATTAATCCCACGGGAACCGTAACTATTCCAGGGATAAAAAGTAGCCTATGTGTTCTTCCTGACTATGCTCTAAACCTGTGCCAAATTTCATGGAGATCCGTTTTTTTTTTTTTATAATACGAGGTTGCAAACGAGCAAGCGTGACCTGAATCCACCGAAATGGAAAGCGACCGCTGCCCATAAACATCCGCTATTGTAGATGCCTTGCCTACCCTAATTGACGGAGGAGGAGACGCACATAAAGAGGACATTTCCCCTTCCTATGCATCTCCTTCACCGTCCAATCCACTTTTTCCTCCTATCCTTTCCTCTTAAGAAAAGGGTGGAAAGGAAAAGGGACTAAAATTAGGCCTCCGGCACCATACTCATCAGACGAAACGCGGAGTTGCTTCCACTTCACGCCTGTTTTCTGTGTGGTCGTGGTATTACACCGGGCGAGCCGGCCCATTCGTGCAAAGATGTTAAAGCGGGCTCTACCACTGTTGAAGCTGTTCAGCCGTTTAGGCTACAAACGCTAACAAACATCCATCCATCTAAACTTTCGCATTTATAATATTAGTAAGATTACCATACCAAGAAGTTACCAGTGAAAAAATGTTTTCTATATCTAATTTATTTCTTAAATGTCTTCAGTTATGGTAAAAATGAGTACTATCTCCTCATCTTCATCCTCCTTATCCTACTCCCGTAGGGTCGGCATAACGGGTTTTTGTCCTCCAAATAACTCTATCATACGTCATCTCAGTCATCACTCCCTTTTTGATCATGTCACCTTTCACGCAATCCATCCATCTCTTTCTAGGTACTAAACGAGTACTATCTAATCGCATAATTAAGCTTGTGAATGTAAATGTCCCCAGGTCTGGGATCTCAGTCTATAACATCTAAATTGAATAGCTATAAGCTATTTAAGTTTTTTTTGACAGAACAAAAGAGATAAAAACAATCTTGGTTTACACAGGACGACACTTGATGAGGAAAATTCATGTATTTTATCGAAGTAAACCCAATTACATGCATAAATCGATAACTATGCAATAAAAATAATGAAATTGGCCGTTAAAGTGACATTGATAAAGTTTTCAGTTCACGAGTTATAAAATGTGCAGTAAAATGAGTTAAAAGTTCCGGCTTCGTTTTATTAGTTCCGACTGAATTTTATTCCACGAAATCGCTCTAAGTATTCGAAACAGCGTTTATTGTCATAAAGTCCAGTCGCCATTTTGACAACGCGGAATTAAAAAAAAGTAGCCTATAATATGCCCATCAATGTCAGCTACAGTTCAGTGAAAGTCCGGTCGAAAACGGTGCAGCCGTTTCCGATTACCCGGAACAAACGCGGCTTGCGGACAGACAAACATTTTTAAAAGCGATTTTCGTTATAAGCAACGCAAATACATCATCTTTCCGAAATCAGGAAATTTCCTTTTGATATTACAAACAGCCACTCCATTTATTGACAGCTGTTTTCAAGCATTCAAATCACGTTAACACTAACCAGTTCCTAAAGTATTATTGATAGTCTCTCATCGAGGGTTTCTCTAAATATAAAAGAAAATATTGAACTTCGTGACACTTAAATGTTATTGAAATTGAATTCTCAAGCTTTTTACATTTAAGATTTAAGAGTGGTAGTAGAAAATGTCATTTGTTTCTGAAATTAAAAAGAGAAATAACTAAATAAATAACAGTTTAATCTTAAAAACTATACTTAGCGAAACCGTTAATAACCTCAAACTTTCATAAGTTTTGCCTTGGAAGTAAATATAGTTTTCAACAAGCAGCCTTGAGAGCACAAAACATTGTTGTTAGTTAAAAATATCACAATAACTCAATTAGGTGTACATAAAAAGTCGTGTCTAATTTTACGTATGTTTTCAATTCGCCCTTTAAATTTCTATAAGTTAATTTGTAGCGAATGTCCGAATTACAGCTTTGTCCAGTTTCGTTCGGAACCACCTTTAGTAATTGGATTTCTGGGGGGTGTAGGGGGTGAGTATAAAAGGCAGTGAGGGGTGGACAAGACGCAGGAGTGGCGTCCAGCCAGCCTGAGTGTTCGTTACCTGTAAGTAAACAATTTTCGATAAAGTTTTTGTTAAATTACCTACATTTAAATTACTGTACATAACCTCAAAAATTTATTGTTTTTGTCCGTGGTGTTCGGTCGTGGTAAAAAAATAATGTTTTTGCTGATATACTGTGTATAAATAATTAATAATTTCCTTTGAAGCTACTTTGTATGTGAGTAATTGCATATTTTATTCGTAAAAGAAAAAAAAATACAAACCTGATAATTCTCTGCGATATTGACGTTTATGGTGTTATTGTAAGTTATGTACTTGATTTTAAATTAAATTACTCAACACTTTTTCATATTGTTAAAAGTAATGTTTTTTTTTAAATAACTATGTACACATAATTTTTATAAATAAACTACTAGAGGAGCGATAAGTAGTTTAAAATTTTAGATTATTCATCCATTGTATAGAAGCATTCTAAATAATTCTGGAACATTCTTTAACTATTGAACATTTTACTTCTTACTAATATTATAAATATGAAAGTTTAGATGGATGGATGGATGTTTGTTAGAGTTTGTAGCCTAAACGGCTGAACGGATTTCGATGAAATTTGGCATAGATGTAGAGGATAGTCTGTAAGAACACATAGTTAGTTTTATTTTTTTATATCACGTGGACGTAGTTGCGGGCGAAAGCTAGTTTTTTAATAAATGTAAAAACTTTCGTTTCCAAAAATGTGTTCGTCTCAGTCAAATTTCTATAGACGTCAAGGTAGATAAAATTGTAGTCCAAAACGTATTCTAAATAATCAAATCAGATCTCACTAATGAAATGAAGTTATATGCTTATGTGTACCTTAATAAAACCGAAGTGAAGTGGACGCAATTCCGCGTTTCGTCTGATGAGTGTGGTGCCGAAGGCCCAATTTTAGTCCCTTTCCCGTCCCACATTTTTGTTATCAGAGAAGGATTGGAAGGGAAAGTACATTTGACGGTGGAGAAGACGCATAGGAAGGGAAATGTCGTCTTTATGTGCGTCTCCTCCTCCGTCGATTAAGAGAAGGCAACTATCTAAGGGCAGCGGTCGCTTCGCCATTTTGGCGGATTTAGATGACCGCTTGCTCGTTTGCCACCTTTTTGTACAAAAAAAATACTTGAAGTTTGAGAGTATCCCCAGTGGCAGTCAAAACTTAGGAGTAAAAAGTTAGCATAGTATGGGCATGTTAATAAGCATGAATCGTATTAAACAAGGAGGACAGTAGTTATGAGTGTGGTACACCGGTAGAGGTAGACATAGAAAGAAAAGGATTGCGTGAAAGGTGACATGATGAAGGAAGTGACTGAGATGACGGTAGGGTTATTTGGAGGATGAAAACCCGCGCCCTACATAGTACAGTATATACAGTAGCATACGGTAGGGGAGATTAGAAAGTCTTAGTAACAAGAATACTTATAGTTAAGCCAATTTCATTTCAATTGAATTACACAGTTGGTTATTGAACTTTTTTCATATTTAGGTTAGGGTCGACGCTTGCAGATTACCGCGACTAAATACGGCTTCCGAACTCACGTACTGTCCTTTGTAAAGACTTGTACAGTCGGGGACATTTATTTCCTACCCGGTTTCTGTGTTTTAATTTACCAAAATTGATGTTGACTGTTGTAATCGACGAGTGAAAAGCGTATTTAATTCTAATCTTAACTAGCTTAGTGCTTTTTACACGGCTTTAAATTGTTTTCCCTAAGTTTTTCGAGTTCGAGTTCTTACGGTGAAGGAAAACATCGTGATGCAACCTGCACATATTGGTGAAGAAATTCAAAGATAAGTGTGAAGTCAACCAACCCGCACTGGACCAACGTGGTTGACTATGGCCTAGTCACTTCTTACTTAGGGTAGACTCCGAGCCCCTCGGTGGGGACTTAAAGTGTGCTGGTGATAATGATGAGTTTTTCGATCTTTACTTAGTAACATAAAATTACATCACGAGATTTATCGACAAGTTTGCTTCGTTAAATCAATTAATACAGTTAAATCCCTTGCTATAAAGTTAATCTATACCTTTACATAATGTAGATTTCGTTATATAAAACTCCGACTTTAACTTCTAATGTGGATTACTTTATAAATAAAAGTTTAGAAAAATACTCTTACTCTGGTTTCCCTTCAAAACGTATAAATCCTTCGCCTAAAAATACTCTAAAATTATAAAGAGGAACATTTGTATTTTCGTATGAAACAACTCAAAAACTACAAGGCCGATATTAAAAATTCTTTCACCGTTAAAAGGCTTTGGTATCACTGAGTAATACAGGCTGTTTTTTTAATATTCTTTTTAATTCCACGCGGAAGAAGTCGAGCAACAGCTAGTCTAGTATTAATAGATTATAGTTTAGTTGCACGAATTACTTTAAAAAATAATTCTTTCATTATCATCAGCTTATATGTCCTCATTGAGGGGCTCGGAGCTTACCCGAAGATACGAGAAGATGATTACGTTTAGTCAATCTTAAAATGCTTTAAATGGTCAGTAGTAAAATTTCACAGTTCCTTTTTTGCAGTCAGCGAACACCACAACCCACTTCACACCACAGCAGAATTCTATTTTTCCATATATCGATTGTTTTTTATTGACCACAACCATGACAGAGAAAGGGGATTTAGAAAGCGTAAGTATCTAATCGTAATATCTTTAATTCCATTTGTTTCAAAGTTAATCTTTATGTCTATTTCCCTTTTAAAATCTTATCTTACAAATATAAATGCAAAAGTTTAGACAGATGGATGTTTGTTAGACCTCGTAGCCTAAACTACTGAACGTATCTTGATGAATGGCATAGATGTGGAGCAAAGTCTGGAATACAAAGTCACTTTTGTTTTTAAAACAATTTGTTCGTAGTATCATATTACAATAAAATTTGGATTACACATTGAAAGGAAACTTTAATTCCTCTTCTGAAACAAATGACGACACTATTCTAGGGTGACCCGGATTCAGAACGTGTGAAACGACCAATGGAGTTGCCAGTTCTACCAAAATCTCTCACATTGGAAGAGAAGAAGTATCTGTTAGCAGTTGAACGTGGAGATATGGCTAATGTTAGAAGGTTAGTTATACAAAATTACTGAATAGAAAGAACTAAATATACCTAAAGGTATACTATGAAAAGATCAAATTTCAAATGCCATTTTTTTCTCGCAATGTCCACTCTATAACTAATTTGAATCTCTATGTTTCTAGAATATTGCAAAAAGCACACCGTCGTAATAACGTGGATATGAACTGTGTAGACGCTTTAGGGAGAGGCGCATTAACTCTCGCTATAGATGGAGAGAATCTGGAGATGGTGGAACTCTTGATAGTGATGGGTGTTCACACGAAGGATGCACTGCTTCAAGCTATCAATGCTGAGTTTGTGGAGGCTGTTGAATTATTACTAGAACATGAGGAACTTATACATAAAGTTGGAGAGCCTTATGTAAGCAAACTTTTACAGATGTTATTTATTTGACAATTGAAGTACATAATTTTATTTTATATGCATTATAAAGTGGCAAACGAGCGAGCGGCCACCTTTATCCATCGACGAAATAGAAAGCGATCGCTGCCTATTAACATTTGCAATGGTAGATGCGTTGCCTAATTTTAATTGACGGAGGAGGAGACGCACATAACGAGGATATTTCCCCTTCCTATGCATCTCCTCCACCGTCAAATCCACTTTTCATTCCCATCCTCTTAAGAAAAAGATGAAAAGGGAAAGGGACTAAAATGAAATTAAAAAAAACTTCTTCGTGTTCAGAGTTGGCAGCAAGTAGATCCGAATACAGCGATGTTCACACGCGACATAACCCCGTTAATACTGGCCGCCCACAAGAATAATTATGAAATCATTAAACTGCTGCTGGACCGAGGCGCCACGCTGCCCGACCCTCATGACATCAGGTAAACTAGTAAACTGAAGTTAGAGAACTAGTAATGACAGTAATAAGATCAGCTGTAAGACTTAAGGGTGGATAAAGATGGAAGGTAAATCAAATATTCTTGTTGGTAGAAGACGATAAGACCGTCTGTTTAGTCTCGCTTTGATTCCTATGAGCTTGGAGGTGCGTACACTACTCGATTTTTAGTTGTGCAACTAAACAGTTGAATGGATTGCGAAACAATCGACAATCGATAATCCCACCGCAATTGTATGATGGTTCTGTCAAATTTGTGCTCCCGCTCTTCTAAGTTCTTTTTATTATCTTTTATTCAGATGCGGTTGCGACGACTGTATCCGTGATTCGACTGAGGATTCTTTAAGACACTCGTTAGCCCGACTCAACGAGTACCGAGCGCTTGCTTCACCCTCGCTCATCGCACTGTCTTCTACTGATCCTATACTTACCGCTTTTGAATTGTCGTGGGAATTAAGAAACTTGGCGTTTGCTGAACAGGTATGAAGTAGGTTTGCTACATAAGTAAAGGTAACTTCATATTCTTTATTGATAAGTCCCTATTTTCACCATTTACACTCATGTTTTAATTTATGTTTAATTCTTTCTTTTTCATGTTTATAAGGAAAGTAAAGCAGAATACCTTGAACTGCGTCGTCAAGCGCAGAAGTTCGCTGTAGACCTGCTGCATCAGTCACGCAGCTCTCAGGAGCTGGCCATCATTCTCAACCACGATCCAGAAGGGACACCCTTCAATGATGGAGAGCACATGAAGTTAGCCAGACTGGAATTGGCAATTGATTTTAAGCAAAAGAAGGTAAGTTTATTTTTAAATTATTGTAATTCTAGGCGTAAATTAATAATCTAATAATAATAATCTTTTGTCTTTAATGCATTTATAGAGTACATAATTATCTTTTTTTTCAGTTCGTAGCTCATCCGAACATCCAACAACTGCTGGCTTCTATCTGGTACGATGGTGTACCGGGTTTCCGTCGCAAGTCGGCGTTGGAGAAGATCATGATTATATTCCGCGTCGCTTTCCTCTTCCCCTTCTACTGCTCGCTGTATATGATCGCCCCCAACAGCGAGACTGGAAAGTTAATGAGGAAACCTTTCATGAAGTTCTTGATACATGCATCAAGTTATTTATTTTTTCTTTGTAAGTATTTTATTACAGGCCTAGTCATCCCTTACTTAGGGTAGGCTCCGAGCCCCTCGGTGGGGACGTATAGTGAGCTGGTGATGAATGAATTTTATTACAAGCGAATCTTAAAATTGTTTTCTGTTACAAAATGTGGTTATACGGTTCTGTTTTATCAATGAGGAGTTCAGTTTGCTTGTAACGGCAACTTGTGATAGTCAAATTTGTACTTTTCCTTGCTATTATTTACCACCGCACAAATATTGCCATGTTTCTTTAATGAGATTCTTATTTTTTATATCATAGAGTAACAATTCAATGTAACCACAATTTATGAATTTTAGGTTAGTAATATCTCTATTTTTTTCATACAGTGATACTCATCCTGGTGTCGCAAAGAGCAGAAGTGCAATTATTACAAGTGTTTGGGTCAGAGCAACTGGTAAAGGATCTGGAGAAAGAAATGCTGAAGCAAAGAGGAAATGCGCCATCATTTCTTGAGATCCTTGTGTTTATATACGTTTTAGGTAAGATCAAAAAAAGTTTCTAAACGTAAATTAGATTCTAAATTAGTTATCACGGAAATTCACTACATGAGGACCTTTATTGATTGAATAGTTTGTAAATACATTCATAGATGTTCAGCCATTTTAGGCTTTAAACTGTATATCTTTAAATTCTTAATTTCCTTTTCTGGTTGATGTACAGGATTTATCTGGGAAGAAACACAAGAGATCTACGTGGAAGGTATTCGTTCTTATCTTAGGAATATGTGGAACTTCATAGATTTCACTCGAAACTCACTCTATGTCGCCGTAGCGTTGCTACGAACAGTAGCATACTTCCAGCAGACCGCAGAAATAGAAAGAGACCCACAGACTAAGTTCATACCGAGAGAACATTGGGACGCTTACGATCCACAATTGATAGCTGAAGGATTGTTTGCCGCAGCGAATATTTTTAGGTTTGTATTAACAAAAAGTTGGTATTTTACAAAATATTGGCCTTGACCTATTTCATTCTGTTGATAAAGTTTCCTAGTCGTTATCATTTATTTGCGTCTATTTATTGCCCAATATTTTATTAAAACAGAGCATTCTTATGAATTTCTAAATCAATTGGTCCAAGTTAGCGTTTATTAAGGCCCATTTACACCATGCAAGTTTCATGACCGTTGCATAATATAATTGAATAATTACTTTGTGTAGTCTGAAAGTAGCTTAGGCTACTCAAAGCAAGAAACTTCCACCATGTAAATAGGCCTTCTGTCTAAATTGAATGTTTCAGATACAATTTTATGGACAGCTGAATCAAGTTTATCCGCCACTAATTTGTGTCATTGAGTGCTCTGCCTTCTGTATTTTGCCTATTAGTAGTCTTCTTTAGCAACTAAAGAACAACTCCTAGTGCCACTTGGACGTTTAATGTATAAAGTAATGCTTTAAATTTTAGTGCATTGAAGCTGGTCCACTTGTTCTCCATCAATCCTCACCTGGGGCCGCTGCAGATCTCCCTCGGGCGGATGGTCATAGACATCGTTAAGTTCTTCTTTATCTACAGTCTTGTGCTCTTTGCCTTTGCGTGTGGTAAGTTTGATTTCTTATACATGGATGTTTTCATGTCGGTTGTAACAGTTTTAAGTCCTCGGTGTGCGACTGGCAGCACTTTTTGACTACAATCTGCAGATTTTGTATCGAACATTAACTATTTAATTACTAACATCGGTAGGATCGTCGGTACAAACTGCTTGAAGTAGTCCGTGTACTGCGGCCTTGATCTCTATTCCTATTCTTTTATAATATATTACTTTTTTAACTAAAGAAATTTAATTAATGTTATGAATGGAGTATGAGGAAAAGTAACCCAAACTGAATTGGTCTTCGAGTGTAAATTAATTTTGATGTCTAATATAGGTCTGAATCAACTATTATGGTATTTCGCTGAGCTGGAGAAACGGAAATGTTACGTGCTTCCCGGCGGTCTCCCGGACTGGGACAATGCGGGGGACTCCTGTATGAAGTGGAGGAGTTTCGGGAAGTGAGTCCTGCTGTAGATGCTAGATGATTTAAGTAAAAGGTTTGTTTTATTTGTTTTTTCAAGAGTACAAATCCTATTGGGTAACGTAAGGTCGTGAGATTAAAATCATTTACGTCTTACTTTATTTCCTAAGAATACTGTTAGTTAAAATATTTTTTACATTTTTATCATAAGCATTAAAACTCTTTTCTTTTCTTCCATCATTTTGCAATGAGGCTATAAATAATCAATTTTATTATTTTCATCGAACTGTCACGTCTTTGCGCAAGTACCGTTGGTTTCCATAGTAACAAATAAAGTTTTGTCGATTTTAGACAACTCAATCACATTTCACACTTGAATATCTTTTGTAGACATTTTTGCGTTTAGACTTTATCACAATGACTGATACTCAATTTGGAGTACGCCATTATATCGGCGCGCCTGTCGCCATAACGAGGCTGGCTGAACAAAACATTGTGTGTATGCCACCCCGCAGCGCTAAATTCACTCTAGAAGAATGGAGGATGAGCAACGAGCAACGCTGCAGGAACACAGAAGATCAGCAACAGTTGGCGGACAGGATTATTGGCGAGTCAGAGAGGATCCGAGAGGAAACCGCCGAGAGAGCCGCCATCATGAAGGCGACTACAGACAGGCGAATCGAAGAAAGAATCGGTGACGTCGAATTCATAAAAAAGGAACTCGAAATACAAAGAAAGGAAATATGCTTGGAACTGGAAGCCCTGAGCATGTACAAGACGAGGCTCCAAGACTGCTTAGCTTCCTTGCAAATCAATGCTTTAACAATCTGTCGTAAATGTCTCGTACTAAGAGATGGTAGGATCGGCATAGATTTAGTCGTAGATGATGTAGAACATGCCTTGCAACAAGAAATAACAGCTATTCTTGGCGGACAGAGTTTACTGAAACGAACTCTGGAACAACTGAATGAACAAATGCGACGCTTGAGGTCCACCCGATATCTTCTTGACCGCGATCTACAATACAAACAAGGAGCAATAGATTCTGATACAGGCTCTTTATCGTTGAAGCCAACTGATTTATGTCTCTCAGTTTATGAAGGATATGCGAATTTAGATCCTGCTAGCATATCAGCAGAAGAATATAATGCGGTGTCGAATAAAAATATTCAACAGGCAGCACGAGAAGTAACCAGTGCGAGACCGATAAGAGTTTTCATTGATACATTATTAAATCAAGTGATCGACGATCTCTGGACGGCTTTCAATAAATGTAACCACGAATTCAATGAGCGTATAAAGCAAACGAAAATCGCTAAAGAGAAGCTCGAAGATATGCACAGAGAGACAACTGAAAAGATATCAAAGATGCAACACAACATATTGCAATTGCAAAAAGCTCTATCTGATAAAGAAGGGAATGTTGGGTTAGCACATACGAGACTTGGTAGACGTGCTCAGAGGATTAGTGCAGAGTTAGTCAGAGATCCTCCGGGTCAGTCATTGTTTTATGAATGTGAAATGTTGAGGTACAGTGTTGGACAACTCCAGCAAATGCTGCAAGAAGCGACTGCTTCACTTCGTTACTTATTGCAGACGCAACTCCAATTAGAAGAGGATATAAATGTAAAGATGAACACGTTGAAGATTGATGAAGTCGATTGCATGACCTTACGAGCCACTATGGATTATCATGCCTATTAATTTATTACTATGTTTGTTTAGAATAGTTTACTTTATGTAGCAGTTGGTACAATGTTTTTTTTTGTAGGAATTATTTTAGTTGAGTTTTTTTAAGTTTAATAGTGTGTATATTTAAAATAAATATTATAAAATATGCGTTCGTTTGCTTTACAATTGCAATTTTAGAGATAATTGTGTATTACCTACAAAATTGAACGTTTACGGTCAAGTGAAGAACCGACATTCCTCATATCCATTTCTGGTAATATGGTCATTTGTTTTTTACATTCATTATTTTTAAGATCAATGTTTCTTTTAGCTGACGTATTTTTTATATTTGCAGTGTCTTCGAAGCATCTCAGTCTCTGTTCTGGGCGTCTTTCGGTATGGTTGGTTTGGAGAACTTTGAGCTAGCGGGTATCAAGAGTTACACCAGGTTCTGGGGTCTGTTAATGTTCGGATCGTACTCCGTCATCAATGTCATCGTGTTGTTGAATCTCCTTATTGCTATGATGTCCAACTCTTATGCAATGATTGATGTGAGTCGCTCGATTAGTTTACTATTCAATTATGTTTGTTACTTCGCTGTGTCTTGGTTGAGATTAAAAAAGACTGCCTTCATGCGGAATTAAAAAAAAATTGGAAATTTGTCCATAATGTTATCGAGTTTTTGGTGTCCATGTTACTAACGCCTTAATTGGATCATTACTACTAATAGAAGCCTTCTAACATGCTACAACCAATGTAAGACTTAAGTTACTTTTTTTACATTCTGGTTATTCCATGTCCACGTGTAAATTCTCTAACTTGTGTTCAAGTGGCATTCCGTTAATTTGTGCCTTTTCTTCTGTATATTTTAATTTGTCGGTTAATAATTTCTCTTGTACTTAGGAACATTCTGACGTTGAATGGAAGTTTGCACGCACACGTTTATGGATGAGTTACTTTGAAGAGGGTGCGACTCTTCCACCTCCATTTAATATTTTCCCCACTCCAAAACTGTTCTGCAAACTATTCGGGCTTAGGAAGAAGGACAAGATGAGGAGTTTGAAGATGAAAGTAAGTCATTCTACAATGTATTTTTTAAAGATTTGCCTTGTAATGGAAACACGAAATAGAAAGTCCTACATGGTTCTGTAACAGTATAACCTATTTCATAAATTTCAATAGGAACAGAAGGAGAAAGAACTAGATGTGCGGTATACAGCGGTAATGCGAGCTGTGGTCTGGCGCTATATATCTGCAATGCATAGAAGAATGGACGATGATCCCGTCACAGAAGATGATATCAATGAGTTAAAGGGAGACGTCTCATCATTGAGATATGAACTGCTGGAGGTCTTTGAGAAGAATGGAATGGATGTTTCATTTACTGATAGGAAAGAAAAGAGTAAGTACAGATGAATGGTTCTCTTATTAAGCGTATTTTTACGAATTAACTAAAAAAGGTTCTTATATAAAGAAATAGTCTGCTAGTCGTTTAGGATAGAGATCTAAATCTTTACTTTTTTGTTGGTGATTTTAGCGGTTTTAGCAAAACGTATGAAGATCTGGGAACGTCGGTTAATGAAGGACTTCCAAGTAGCACCAGTGGCTCCTGTGGATGATGAAGAGAGGCCGGAGCATGAGACCGCATTGTCCAGGTTCAGGAGAATAGCTAAGATGGCGGTCGCTTCGACCAGTACCGCTATGTGGGACAGAACTTTAGCTGGTGCTGGGATTTCGTAAGTTTTTGTGTACCTTCTTACTTTAGAATCTACGAGAGAAACATTGCTTATTTCAGATTAATACTATAAATGGCCATTTTGGTCATTTTTATCGGTAAAATTGTTAATTTGGAATTCAAGGAGAAGTACTTATAGAAGTATTTGTAATTTACGCAGAACTCAAATCGGTCGCTGTCGAACCAGAGAGTCGTTCAAGAATCAACAAAATCTTCAGAAAGCGATGGATGAAGCGAGGAAACTTGTTATGCGATCTCCTTTACCAGGTATTTGATAATGATTTTAAAACACAGCTGATCGAAAAATAAAGCTAACAAATCTTACTAATATTATAAATGCGAAAGTGTAGATGGTTCGATGTTTGTGAGAGTTAGTAGCCTAAACGGCTGAACGGATCTTAATAAATTTGGCATAGTTGTAGAACATAGCCTGGAAGAATACGTAAGCTACTTACTTTTTTAAATCCCACGTGGAAGTAGTCGCGGTCTAAAGCTAGTTAATTAATAATTTACACGATTTGAAATCTCTTACTTTGTTTGATTTCATTTTTTCTACAGAAGGTTCTCGTGTACCATCTCCTATAGAGATGCCTCTTCCACCCGGACATACCTTACTGGAGCTGATCAAGGATATATCAACTGAGATAGGACAACCAGAATCTAAGTCTCCATGGAAAGGTCATGGTAAGTGATGTATTTATTCCACTGAAAGGCAAAAATTAAAATACTGGTAGGTAAAATATTAAGAAATAAAAATTGTCTAAATTACTTCAAAATCGTACACTCATACATTTCACTTTGTATTCTTACAAATATTATAAATGCAAATTTTGGTATGTTTGGATGTATGCTTGTTAGAATATCTCCTAACCGGTTGAACGATACTCGATGAAATTTGGCATAGGTATAGTATATAGTTAGGAACACATGGGCTACTTAAACTTTGGTTTATTGACACCTAGTCAACACTAGTTTGAGTACTTACTGCTTCAGTCAGTCTTGAGGTGATAATTTGATCTATATTTGTATGTTGACATAGTTCTTTTTTCTTTCCCAGGTGATGGTACGGCCGCAGAATTTCTAAGCCCCAGCATAGCACCGAGTCGGGCTGTATCTCCTATAATGCAAGTTTTAATTCCTCCTACTAAAGTAAGTGTTTAATTCACCACCAATTTGTTAAATTTTGTAATTCCATTTGTAAACGATTGTTCTGGAATTTAGCTTGGTTAAAAGGTTTGAGAAATCTGTATTATATCTGTATTATATTTTGATTGATATATTGACATCGTGGATATCATCACCACGGTATAAAATGTATTTGAAACGCTTATGTTTTCTTCTAACCTCTTTCCGAAACGGCTGGACCGATTTCGACCGGACGTTCACTGAAGGGTAGCTGACATAGACTGGCATATTATAGGGTTCCTTTTTATCTCAATATTGCGTGGATAAAGTCGCGGGCAACAGCTAGTTTCATAACATTACTAGCTTTCGCCCGCGACTTCGTCTGCTTTGAATTAAAAAAAAAAAACTAAGTACCCTTTGTGTTCCTCCAGACTATCTTCTATGTCTATGCAAAATTTCATCTAAATCCGTTCAGACGTTTAGGCTACAAACTCTAACAAACATTCATCCATCTAAACTATCGTATTTATAATATTAGTATGATTTAACCAGGTGTCACGAGCCACATCACCTAATCCTGTAGCTTTGAGTCCGTTGCCAAGAGCTGGGTCTCCTGCTCCTCCTCGGTGCGATTTGGAGATTGTAAAACCTTTGCAAGGTAAGGCATTATTATGCAATCTTGGTATTACTACACCGATGCTAATGTTAGTAATAAAAATGCGAAAGTTTAGATGGATGTTTGTTAGAGTTTGTAACCTAAACTGCTGAACGGATGTTGTTGAAATTTGGCATAGATGTTGTTTGGAAGAACACTTAGGCGTACTTTTTTATTCAGTTGGCAAAGCCGCGAATGCTTATATTAGTTATTAAGAAGAAATCTTTGTATTTTTTATGTGACGATTCAAAAACACCTATACCAAATTTAAAAATTATTTTGCCATTAGAAGATTACGATTAACTGAAGTGGCCAAGCTGTTATTCTTTGTAAAATAAATGAAAATCTAGATGTAAATTACTAAATTGTTATATTGTAGAATCGGATTTAAGAAACGAGATGTCTCTAACTTCCGAAGATACTTTGAAAGTCGCAAAGAAAAAAGCGCCCGACGCACCGAAATCACCTAATCATCAGGTTTGTTTGTCTTATGAATTCTGTTAACACTTTTTTATATATTACTAAATTTCGAAAGATCGCCAACTTTTTTTTTTAAAACTGGAGGTTAGCACGAAAATTTACGTTATCGATAAAAACACATCTATGTGTATCAGTTTTCGACTTCAAAGTATACCAACAAATCTTATACAAGTTTACGGTTGAACTTTCTCGAAAATTTTCGTGCTAGGTCTGATTTAAAAACTTAAGGACTACAGAGGTGTAAACAGGATGAAAGTGACTATTTTGTTTAAATAAGTTGTGCTTTTACAGACCGATTTGGAAGTCAAAGAGATGCCTTCTCTGGCGATCGCAAGACCGGTGGCGCTCGAGATAAAACCGGCAGAGGGCGCTCTGCCACCGCCGCCCAACAAACCTAAGGTAACGTTAAATAAATGTAATTTTATAATCAAATATTCCATAATTTGATAATTCGTTACGAAGCTTCATGTTTATGAGATTCTAAAAAATAAATGCATTTTCTAAATTAAATGTAATGTCAGCTCTATTCAAGTTCTTTTATCTTTTTTTTTATATATCTATATCAATATTATAAAGAGAAAAGATTTGTATTTTTGTATGTATTGAAATAACTCAAAAACTACTGGGCAGATTCCAAATATTCTTTTACCGTTAGAAAGCTAATCTGTGATTAACGTAGGCAATATTTTTTAATCATTTTTTTTTAAATTTCACGCGGAGACAGTTTCTAGCAACAACTCGTACTTAATATATTGTATTTTTTAAGACTCCAATACCACCGTCATTGGAAATAGCACCAAGTTCCCCGTCAATCAGACCAGTGGTGCCCCCAACGCCCAAGAAGAAAGCGACGGACAAACCTGCACCTCCTCGTCCAATGTCACCGCGACCTTCACCAGATCATGACGTCATTAAAACTGTAAGTTATAGTTCGACTACAAGTTATTTTCACAATATGTTAAAGATAAATTACCTTTCTAATGGTGAAAAAATTTTTAAAATCAGCCCAGTAGTTTTTGAGTTATCTTAATCCATACTAAAATACAAATCTTTCCTCTTTGTAATATCAGTATAGACTAGCTGTTATTCGCGGCTTCGCTTCTTTGTTGCCTAAGATGTCAGCAATTACAGCATATTTTTGAATAATTCTTTTTTTATTAAAAAGCCGTACACTTACGGCACGCTTTAGGCTATATATTTTCAGGTTATCAAACTTAGGGGGTAAATATTTTGGATTAAAAACCTAATGTGGGAAAGAGAACATAAGTTGCTACCAACATCAAGGAAGCAAGTTTGCTAAGGTTTGTCATGTCATGTCATTTTGACATTTTCTATTGATAATTTCACAAATGTAAACAATAAAATAAAATTTTCATAATTCCATGCGAATAAAGCCGCACGGAAACAGCTAGTATATTGTTATAAATTAGTACAGATGAGGATGTCTATGAGCTTTTGTATTTTGGCGAATTCCGGTGGCCGTTTATTACCTTAGACTATAAAAAAACGCGGATAATTTGTTTGTTTCATAACATTCACAATTGTTATACGTACACTTTTGAACTCTACTTTCTCGTTCCAGTGCCCTGCCTCCCCTCCCTCGCCAAAGCGCCACTCTTCAACATCCAGCACGGAGCAACTGTTACCATCTCCAGGGTACAAGACATTGCGACCCATCAATAAAATTGACGAAGTCAAAACTATCAAGCGTCAAACTAAAACAGGATGGCTATGAATATTACAAATTAAATTTAATTTATCGTCACACTATGCATAGTTCGAAATATTTATAAAAAAAATATCGTTTTTGTATGAAATTTCTTAGTTACGCATTTAATAAGAATTGTGTGTCGATACGGCACTTTCTCTAAAAATTTTCGTGCTAGGTTCTCTTAACAGGTAACGTTTTTGTACTCTTCTAGTAGTTCGTTATTTTGACATTTTTTTGTTAATGGCAAAGCTTTTTTTGTATTTGCTTTATTTGTTATAGAATGATTTTTTTTAGTTACTAGGATATCAGAAATGAGAAGATAATAAGCGTGTAGTTTCAGAGCGTTAAATTCATATCTAATTTGAATGTCTGATAGACCGCGAATATCTTTCGATATATGACATCCTAGTACCTAAGCGAAAATATTTACCGATTAAGGGTTTAGCACGAAAATTTCTGAGAAAGTGTATGTAACATCATTGACAAAGTATCTTTGCGCAGCATAGAGTACACTGATAAATACAAATGTCGATGTTATGATACTTTCTCGCAAATTTTCGTGCTGTGCCTCTAAATTGTAGTCATCTTATGTTCTTTAGTAAAGAACAGTTTGGTTTTGTTTTATGGTGTATGTTCTTTATGTATGGAAAACATAGGTTTATTTGCAACTTATATGTTTGTTTATATTTTTAGCACTAATAAATATAGTATCTTCTTACAATTAAGTAAGCAATTTGTATTTAATTTGGTCTTTGAATAAATCGATTAATCAAATAGCGTTCTTACTATAAAATAGACCCAAAATTTTAGTGCCAAAATAGTTTTGTGCAGTACTCCTATTGGACGTAAAGTGCGTCCTATCTCATGGAAATTTTGTCACTAGAGAAACACTTTTTAAATTTTCGTGTTAGACCCCCAGAAAAAATTTACTGTCCTTTATTCATGTTAAGATTTTCACATTTAAAAAATTTTTGGTTATATTCATTAAGTACCGTCGGCAAAAAAGACAACTAACATCTGTAATTCCAATATTTGATGCTTTGTATGAAAAAATAGTACCAAAAAGTAAATTTAACGTTATATTTTGACTAAAAAAATCAGATCCTAATTACTACGGTACTTTGCTGTATAGTACCGTATACTTTGCTGTATAGTATACGGTATAGAAACGGAAATAACATCAAGGATAGAGCACCAAGAGGAAAAAAAAACTCTTTAATTACTTTTATTTCTTCCTAAACAAGCAATAGTTAGCGTTTTTTACAAAGGAGTATGTGCTTAAATTCATTTTACTCATCGAACTGTCATCTTTATGCACAAATGTCATTTGGTTTCTATAGAAACAACACTGATCTCTATTTTAAAACAATGTTTTGACATTTTTTGACAACTCAGTTACATTTTATAGAAACATTTCTATATTTTTTGTAAATTTTATTTTTCTATTTTCTTTTTACTCATGACTGATACCCAATTCGGAGTCCGTCATGCTATCGGCGCCCCCATCGCTACGAAGAGGCTGGCTGAACAAAATACAGTATGTATTCCACCGCGCGGCGCTAAATTCACTATAGAAGAATGGAGGATGAGCAACGAGCAACGCTGCAGGAACACAGAAGATCAGCAGCAGCTCGCAGACAGGATTATGGGCGAGTCGGAGAGGATCCGAGAGGAAACCGCAGAGCAAGCCGAAATCATGAAGGCAACCACAGACAGGCGAATCGAAGAAAGAATCGGTGATGTCGAATTCATAAAGAAGGAACTAGAAATACAAAGAAAAGAAATATGTCACGAACTGGAAGCTTTAAGTGTGTTCAGGACGAGGATTCAAGACTGCTTGGCTTTTTTGCAAACCAATGCTTTGGAGATCTGTCGAAAATGTCTTGTATTGCGAGAAGGTAGGATCGGAATCGACTTAGTAGTTGATGATGTGGAAAATGCTTTGCAACAAGAAATAACAGCCATTCTCGGTGGTCAGAGTTTGTTGAAACGAACTTTGGAACAATTGAATGAACAAATGCGACGATTGAGGTCTATACGATATCTTCTTGACCGCGACCTACAATACAAACAAGTAGCAATAGATTCTGATAGAGGCTCGTTGTCAATGAAGTCTACTGATTTATGTCTCTCTGTATATGAAGGGTATGAGAATTTAGATCCTGCAAATATATCTATTGATGAATATAACGCGGTGTCCAATAAAAATATTAAACAGGCTGCTCGAGAAGTAACCAGTGCAAGACCGATAAAAGTTTATATTGAGATCGTATTGAATCAAGTGATAGACGATCTCCGGACGGCCTTCAATAAATGTAACCACGAATTCAATGAGCGTATAAAGCAAACGAAAAGCGCTAAAGAGAAGCTCGAAGATATGCACAGAGAGACAACTGAAAAGATATCGAATATGCAACACAACATATTGCAATTACAAAAAGCTTTATCTGATAAAGAGGGCAACATTGGATTAGCACATACGAGACTTGGTAGACGTGCTCAAAGAATTACCGCTGAATTAGTTAAAGATTCTGCTGGACAGTCATTGTTTTATGAATGTGAAATGTTGAGGTACAGTGTGGAAAAACTTCAGCAAATGCTGCAGGAGACGACCGCTTCCCTTCGTTACTTGTTGCAGGCGCAAATTCAATTAGAAGAGGATATAAATGTAAAGATGAACACGTTGAAGATCGATGAAGTCGATTGCATGACCTTACGAGTCTCTATGGGATATCATGCTTACTAATTTTAACACCTATTAGTTTTGTTTACGCAAAAAGCAGTTGGAACGAGTTACTTTTTATGCTTATTTACTTATTTTGTAAACTTTAAATTTTAATACGATTTGTTTTAATAAATTTATTAACGAATACACATTTGTTTTATTATTAAATGTTAAAACCAAAGTCCTATACATTGATTTTTAATAAATACAAATTTAATTTTTAAAAATCTATAAAGACCCTATCTCGAATTCCTTACAAGAGTTTCCTAAATATTTGTCTTTAGGTTCAGAAATGCATACAATATTTTTATTCACGCGTAATAAAGGTAAGTTTGTGCCGACCGTACTTAAAGTCGGAACTTTGTTGAAAATGTCTATTTGTTTGGATTTCTGAGACAATATTTTTTAATATTTCACATTCAGCATTTTACAAATTGCTATTACATTTTTGTAGCTTCTCGCTGGTGTTTTGACGAGTATCTTAGTGTGAGGGACCAAAAATACAAGGTTTTTGACACTTTTAGTGTTTTCTTATTCTTTTGATTTCGAATACAATGGGTGTCGTTTCTTAAATGATAAGATATATTAAGGATGAATCCATAAAAATACAATTTTTATTTAAACGCGGAGGACAATCGCAAACGATCCTTTATTATTTTTTATTTGAAACTCAAAAGTATTATGAAAAGTTTTTGTCAAATAAAACACATGTAATCATAAAAGAAAATCATTTTATTGTAATCAAACATTTACATACTATGTCAACAGATTATTAATAAATGAAATAAAATAACTTAATTCAAACATAAATTGTACAAACGAAATATTGGTCTTAATACTTTTCCAACAGAGGGGATATCGTGAAAACTATCGAAAAAGTTTTCGTTACATTAACGACATTTCAATGAGATTTGTCGATGACGTTACGAAAAACTATTACGAAATATTCATGATAGTCCCTATGTTGAAGGACATTTCGTGATATCAAATTTAAGGACCTGCGCACACCTGTAACTAAACTATCGCACAACTGTTCTCGCGTTGATTCCTACGAGCTTGTATGGAGGTGAGCACACTACTCGATTTTTAGTTGTGTAACTAAACAGTTGTATTGGCTGCAACAATCGACAATCGCACAACAGTTTGCGATAGTTTAGTCAAAGTGGGAGCTTTAATAAGGCAAATTGACAAACTCGATGTGATTTAAAGTTCTTTGCTTTTGCGTCCCTGAAGTTAACAATACTTAATGCAAACAATTCATATCTCTCACACCCTTAGTTATCTAGAATGCTTTTGTTCCTCTCACACTCGGCTCGTATTTCGAAACCTAACTTCAGAGATACAAAAATCTATCAATAAAGTGTGTGTTGTTAAACTAAGTGAAAAACTCTTTTTTTTTTTTTTTTTATAACATAAGGTGGCAAACGAGCAAGCGGCCACCTGAATCCGCCAAAATGGCGAAGCGACCGCTGCCCATAGACATCCGCAATTGCAGATGCGTTGCCTACCCTTATACGACGGAGGAGGAGACGCACATAAAGAGGATATTTCCCCTTCCTATGCATCTCCTCCACTGTCAAATCCACTTCCCGTTCCCATCCTCTCCTTATAAGAAAAGGGTGATAAAGAGAAAGGGACTTAAATTAGGCCTCCGGCACCACACTCATCAGACGAAACACGGAATTGCTTCCATTTCACGCCTGTCTTCTGTGTGGTCGTGGTATTACACCGGGCGTGCCGGCCCATTCGTGCTAAGATGTTAAAGCGGGCACTACCACTGTTAGACTCTCATATAATCTACTAGTTAAATATAATTAAATTAATATAATTGCAAAATAATGGCAGTTAACAATTACATTTTAAACATAGCATAATTTAAAAACGACAAGTAAATTGCAGTGTTGCAGATACCAGCGTCATCTTAATTCGACTTAAATTTAAGATTCAAAAACAAAGCATTAAAAAGCACTCATTTTATTACTACATATCTTAAATTTAAAAAAAAATAGTCACTGGTTTAAGAGATTCAAATGTCGAACATACGTCAGCAAAAGTAAACGAATTCAAAAGATAAATACCGAAAAATACAATATAAGAAGTAGAAGTTAATTTAACCAGCTCATGTACGTCCCCATTAAGGGGGGCTCGGAGCCTACCCTAAGTAAGGGGTGACTAGGCCATAGTCAACCACGCTCAGTGCGGGTTGGTTGACTTCACACATATCTTTGAATTTCTTCGCCGATATGTGCAGGCATCACGATGTTTTCCATCACCGTAAGAACGTCGGGTAAATTATGTACATATGAAAATTCGAAAAATCGAAAATCACATTGGTACATGGCGGGATTCGAACCCAAGACCTGTAGATTACATGTCAAGGGCTTAAACCACTGAGCCACTGACGTTCTGACTGAAGAATATACTAATAACCGATTTCTAAATAAAACACTAATGTGACAAATAAAATCATTAAAGAAATACTAAACAATAGAATAAAAAGGCATGGGAAAGATATCAAAAGCGTGCATTTGCGTGGCTTATTTAAGCTGAAAGTAAACATACTCAAAACTTCATATATTCCTAATTGCATCATATATTTAAAAACTACAATATCAACTAGGTAAATGGAATAAATAATTAACTAAGTGAAAAGTTAAAATAGTGATGAGACAGTCAGTGGGCATAGATAATAAAATCCAGTTTCTGAAAGAATTATAAAAGCAAACAATTAAAACATCTTGATATGAAGTAGTAACGACCTAAATGTTAAACGATTAGTCAGAGTTGTAGCTTTGATAATCTTTCAGAAACCGAGTGTAAACATATTAAAAGATCAGCTTAATTAATTTACTAGACAAATGTGTTGCAATTACACATTTGAGCGCGAAGTCATTACGATCCTTAATCCATCGTTTGACCGTCATTGACTAGAGATTAATCTCAAAATATTGAAACTATCTGTTCTCTGTACTCTTTTGGTATGGAGTATTTAAATATTTTCAGTTGCTGACCTTGAACTGGCCGCTGCACTTCCCTCGCATCCCTTTACACTCTGTTAAGCATTACATTGCGTTCCACAGCGACTCATACGAAATTCCGAGCCACTAACATCAATGAAAAATATCAAATATATAAATTCTGTATTAACACAAATCAAATACATTCTCAGATGTAATTATCATCTTTTGTTATAATTCTAGTTATTGCTTTTGTCTCACTAATATGTCGATAGTAATTTTCGTATTTAAATCTAGAGCCATCCAGATACGATTTTCCCTGTCACTTTAGATCTTCCTTTGTCACCCATTGGTGGTTTACTAGCCGGTTTAGGAGCACTCGTCGATGGTTTGGGAGTCTTTGGTTCCTCTGCAAAAGCTACTGATGGTTTCGATTCTGGTTTTGCTGTTTTAGGTTCCGTTGATTCTGCTGGCTTAGATTCGGTTGATGTCTCTGCTTTAGATTCCGCTGTAGATGGTTTAGATTCCGCTGTAGATGGTTTAGATTCCGCAGTAGATGGTTTAGATTCCGCTGTAGATGGTTTGGGTTCCGTAGTAGATGATTTAGAGTCGGGTTTCGTGTCTTTGGCTACAGCAACTAAAGCGGCAGCTGATAAAATTTGTTCGGCAGGTTCGCTTTTACTTGTCGTTGGTTGTAATGGTTTTTGAAGATTAGAATCTTCTTCCTTCGTAATGTATAAGCTCTTTGAAGGGCTTCCTCCTTCTGGTTCTATTTGAATGATATGATCCTTTGATGATTTTGATCCTTTGTCAGTCGTATCTTCTTTTGAAGTACTGGTTGTTGGTTTCTCTTGTTTTGATTCTTTTGGTTGTTCTACTGCAGCCTCTGTTTCTGAAAAGGTATTGTTTTAAAATTATGCTATTTATTGTGTTGTTTTACAGTGTATCTATGTAAAATAGCAAAGAGTAGGTCGAATCGTCTGGATACTAGCTATCTAAAGGTATTACTAAGATCGGATGATATTTCAGTGTATACGCTTTGTTAGCTTCTGACGTTAAACTATGTATATAAATGTTATTTACGTAAATATGAAATAAAGTCATAATGAAAATGTCTTTAACTACTATTACCTTTCCTTTCGATGTGGGCCTCTACTTTAATTTCAGTGTGTTTTATATTTTCATCATCTGAAGCTTCTGGAATCGGTGTTCTCGTTCGGAATATTTTACCTGGTGATAATTTTGTTATTGTGTCAAAGTTATAATGATTAGGATATGGTAGGAGCTTATATCGAGAGAAATAGAAAAACAAAATGTGTACATACCGCTTCATATGACAATGTTTTTCCAGTAATGAATACAATAAGTGTACCTGTCTTCAAAGGAACTTCGAATGCATGCTTTTCATATATTCCATACTCGTATTTCAGAATACTTTGTATTAGTATATCTTCTAGAATACAAACTGAGTTTGTATTGATTATGCAAATAGTTCTTTTAAACGTAAAACTGTTTCTGCATACTTTCATATTGAAATTAGAATACATTTATTCATGAATGTTTTGACTGGTTGTTTGTTTAAGAATTATTCACAAAACAAGTATAACTGTACCAATAATATTTGTAACAGTGTTATACCGTGGCAAAATATTAATAACTACATACTTACTAATAATGGATTTACTATGGTTTTTATCGGTTTTCTAGATGATGTTAGCAGACGGGGTATTAAAAATGGAAAGACGTTATATCTGCCTGTTGAGTTATGGTTGGTTTTCTATATCATGGGTTTAAAGATGTATTTGTTTTACCACTTATTCTGTTAGAGGCAGTCGTGTTAGCAGCTTCAAACACTTCATCTTCTAGACTGACGTCACCCTGCGAGCCTCTCTTCTGTTTCTCCGTGAAGTCTGATTTTATCTTGCTCCTCATGAACTTGGCATATGCAACTCTTGCGGTTGGATTCACAGAAGATAGATTTGGATTATACTCTGTGAAAACAGATTTATTTAATGTTGTAGGTATTACACAAGTAATAGATTATTTTTTCTAACAACAGATATGACAGTTTTAACCATTCTCAGTATCATTGTCTAATTTTAGTCAACTTCCACGCATTAAATACTAATCTTTTCTTTGTTATTTATTAATACCTTTATCATACTATGACCATACAGAGCGACTGAATGGACTATATGACTTTATTTTATTAAATACTGAACAAAAATTACCCAATAGTTTCTGTGGATCGATAGTTCTGGCCTGCACGTTGTCCAAGATATGAAGCCTAAGAGATTGTCGGCTGCGTCTCGTCTCCGCCTCTGAAGTCCTACCGATCGGATCTCGTCGTGTTGTGTTGGTGCGAACCAAAGCATTCCAGTCACGTTTCTTACTGTTAAATAAGGCAATAAATGAAATTTTGCACAAAATTTACGATTATCTGTTAATCTGTGAATAATAATTTATTGATAAACAGTCAAAATCGTAGATAATAACAACCACAATATGTGTAAATTAAAAATATCTAACCTCTCAGTGCTACCCTTCCGTACGATGGCTTTAGCGATTTGACTGAACACATCTTTGGGTTTGCTCTCCCTGGAGATGACGTCCTTTATGATACCTTCGACGATGCCGATCTGGAAGTCCTTCAGAATTCTCCTCTCCATCACTTTGCCTTTCTTACCAGATACTGCAAGGAAACATTTACTAAGTAAGCCTAAAAATATAAGACAACACAACTATAGTGAAAAAAAAAACTAGTATGGGCTACGATTTATCGGTAAATTGTGACTGTTTTTAGAATTCAGTATATTGAAACGTTAGCATTTTGTAACTATAAATTAAAACTCTCCGTTGTTGATTCTTTTTCTTGTGTCTTGTTCAAATTCTAATACCGCATGAGGTATTTATTTCTCTTGTCAACTCAAAAACTGATTAAATTTAGAGTAGCAAAAATTAATACTTGTGGTATCTTGTAAGTTGATCCTCGGTGTTTTCATGCCGTTGTTATGCAAGATATCGATTAGCTCGAAGCGCAGGGTGGATATGTCCTGTCGGATCTCCATCACGTCGTCCTCCGTCACGCCGACCTCGTCACGTGCTCGCTGCTCCGCTGTCACGTAGCGGCGCACCAACACGCGCATCACTGCTTCGTGGCCTTCGCGAGCTTTCTCACGAGATTTGCTCTAGAGAACACTTCCACCTTTATTTCTGATTAGCTATTACTCGCGACTCCGTCCGCGTGGAATTAAAAAAAAGTATTAAGTAGCCTGTGCATTTTACCAGACTACCCTCTACATCTATGCTAAACTTCAACGAGATCCGTTCAGCCGTTTAGGCTTCACACTCTAACAAACACCCATTCATTTTGTAGTTCTTATCAATTTTAAGTTTGTGATTGACAAAACGGATCAGATAAAGATTATGGCGAAAAGATGTAATATAAGACTACATGTTTTTTAAGGTATAATGTTTGAGATTTATGTTAACACTTACAAGAATAGAACCCCGATCTCGTTTGGAGCAGATGCGATCCATCCAGCCCTTGAAATGTTTCGGAGTGGGAACAATATTGAACGGTGGTGGTACAGTATCGCCATCCTCGAAGTAAGACATCCAGAGGTTACTCCGCGCAAACTTCCATTCTATATCGGCTCGTTCCTGGATAAGAAGTAAATAAATGCTCAGATAAAGACAGCTCAGATCAAGACAGTATTGAAAAGTTCAAACAACATCTAACTTTTCTGGTAGATAACATCGCGTATCAACCGAATTTTCAATGGTACCCAGCAAAAGTAGTCAGGGGTAGTTATGACTTAGATTTTTTAGAGCAGATTGTATTGAAGGACGCATATCATCATCAGTTTTTTTCTGCTTACTGCTGAACATAGGCCATCCCGAATGCCTTCCTTAGAAAGCGGCGAAAATAATGTAGTATTGATAAATCGTAACGCCAAAGAATTTGCAAGAAAGGGAATTTAATAACTCGTATATAATATAATATTATAGTCCAATAAATAAATGTAGTCTGTTATGGTTTGGCCTTACCGAGATAATTTGGTAAGAGTTTGACATCATGGCAATAAGCATGTTAAGCAGCACAATGATGTTAATAACGGAGTACGAGCCGAAGGTTAGCAGCGCCCAGAATCTGGTGAAACTCTTGATGCCTGTCAGCTCGAAGGTTGTCAGGTCCACCAGACCGAAAGACGCCCAGAATAGAGATTGTGATGTTTCGAATAAGCTGAAATAAAAAATAAAACGTGACAAATTCGGTGAACAAAAGATAGAAACTTTTAATATTACTATATAAAATTCTGGTTCAAGCTAAACTAAGGAATTGACAAAATAATTATTAATATGATTAAAAAATAACTGAGAATTGTAACACTAGACAATGATCATCGTAGAATTTTATTATAAGTCTACGAACTAAAGAAACAAGAAATAACTTACTTTGCGTATCGTCTCCAGATAGAGCAAGCGCGCTCTTGATTGTCAAAATCCGGTATTCCACTTGGTGTATGGTAACATTTGTTCTTTTCCAATTCGGCGTAGTACCACAGAAGTTGATTCAAACCTGAAACAAAACAATGCGATTATCCAACATTTAAATCCAGATTCTCACATTAAAGACCACAAAAAATAACTTATAAATCTTACCGCATCCAAAAGCGAACAACACCAACATATAAACGAAGAAGAATTTTATAATATCGATGATCATACGCCCGAGAGATACTTGAAGGGGTCCCAAGTAAGGGTTTATAGAGAAGATATGGACTAGCTTGAGAAAGGAGAAGATCATGCCAGCAGCAAAAGCACCTTCTGATAGCAGCATTGGGTCGAATGAGTCCCACTTCTCGCGAGGGTACCAAGGATCGAGGCCGGCGCGATAGTCTCGCTGTAAACACATTACTTTGATTTTCGTCTGTCAAAATACTTGTAACTTCATCACCAGCTCACTATACCTCCCCACCGAGGGGCTCGGAGCCTACCTAAGTAAGTGGTAACTAGGCCATAGTCAACCACGCCGGCCCAGTGCGGCTTGGTGGTCTTCACACATATCTTTGAATTTCTTCGCCGATATGTGCAGGTTGCATCACGATGTTTTCCTTCACCGTGAGAACGTCGGATAAATTATGTACATTTGAAAATTCGAAAAATTGGTACAGTGGGATTCGAACCCAAGATCTGTAGATTACAAGTCAAGTGCTTAAACCACTGAGCCACCGACGCTCCTTTATTTGTAACTGCTCTTAAAACAGCATATTTTTATTTACCTGTACTATATACCAAGACGAGAATCGTAAACTGATCCAAGCGATGTAGAACATGTTCGTAATGAAGTCGACTATGTTCCATAGATCGCTGACGTACTCCATCAGACCGCCTTCCCAAAGCGAACGTATCTCAGCCCATATTAAACCTTAAAATATACGAGTAAATTTACGAGATTTTATACAAAAACGTTTCACAGATGGTTTACAAATTTTAAATTGTCTTAGAGAACGCGCTCACCTTTTACAAACTATTGCACTCCTATTCTCGCTTTAATTTCTATAAGCTTACCATATATGGAGGTGCGCACACTACTCGATTTTTAATTGTGAAAATAAAAAGTTGAATTGGATGCAAAACAATAGACAGTCGCACAATAGTTGTGCGATAGTTTAGTCATAGGTGTGCACCCGCTCGCAGAAACTAAGAGTGGATTTTTTGCTTAATATTCAGATAATCTTGAAAATTTAGTATTACTTATAAAATGTTTAATTCTTGTCGCTACTTATTCATTTTGTTGTTTTAGCTTAAATTGCATGCTGACAGTTGTAAATTTACTTGCTATGAAGATGATGACAGTGAACTCGATGAGGCCCGGCAGCGCGCCCCTCTCGTGCGCCTTCCAATGAGCCACTAATTCTTGAAGCCAGCGGATGCCAGACCATTCCAATACCAGATACTCTGCCCTTTGAGACGCCAGTGAAAGTAGAGCTACAAAAAATACTTAATAACACCTTCATAATATTGTGATTGTTGGTGGCTTAGTAATAAAGTAAAGAATACTTTGAAAGACAAAGATCAAATTAAAAAAATAATATTGGCGGACTTACAAAATATTAAAGAAAAGAATCTATTAGAAATCGTAATATTATCGAACGTCATCAATCAATGCAGTAAATTAAAAAAAAAACACATCATAACCATGTAAGTACACTGGCCTATGCATTCCCAAATGGCTTCTATAGAATGCGTTCATCTTTATATCATCATAACCAGCTATATACGTCATCTTTACTTTATCGTCATCACTATACCGAGAGGCTAGGCTACCCTAATAAGGGGCGACTAATATAGTCAAGTTGTCTTTATATACTTACAAAGAAATAACATATACGAGGAGCTGTGACAGATGAATTTAACGAATGGTTTCTTCATGAACTTGCCGTACTCCGAATCCGGGTTCAGCATGTAGATAGTGCAGTATACAGGGAACATGAAACCGAGTTTTGCAACCTGAAAATACATTTAAATTTAAGAAAGTGTCAGAATCAGAATGTACTGATAACAAAAAAAAACATACGGACGAATTGAGTACCTCCTTCTTTTGGGAAGTCGGTCAATGATTTTGAAATACTACATTCATAAGAGCGTGCGCACCTTTGAAACTAACTAACAACTGTTTAGTCTTGCTTTGATTTCTATGAGCTTGGAGGTCCGCATATTACACGAATTTAGTTGTGCAACTAAACAGTTGAATTGGCTGGCAAACAATCGACAATCGCACAACAGTTGTGGTAGTATAGTCAAAGGTGTGCGTACTAAAAGTCTAATAAGAGCTGTGTCTAGAAAATAATTGTGACTTTAAATTATTGCATTCAATTTAATTTTTTTTCATTAGAAGTAGATAACTTTTAGCAGGGATGCTAACGGTCACTTGGTTTTACCGCTAGCTCGTTTGTCACTTTGTAATCAAAGGTAACTTCCATAGATATTAACAATTTTATTCTCAGTCCGCAGAGTAAATAGTCCATATAAAGAGAATACGAGGAAAATTAGAAGCAGTTTACCACACAGAAGTTTTATACGCACAAATAAGGTAGTAAAAGTAACATAAAATAGGAACAAACTAAATTCATTTATTATCATAGTTTCCGTCTTGGGTCATTGAACCCGTAGATGACAAAAATTATAAGGTCAGGGTTATGGTAGGTTCACACGAGGGTAGAGTAAACAAGTAGAGCAGAAGACAGTGCAGTACTGCAATATATTTATACTTACTGACATAACATTACTATTCTGTCTGGCTGTCATACTAGCACGACAATTCGCGAGACAGCATTGGTAACTTCATCGACATAATTAGCATAAGATACGGGTATGTCTATTTACATTTTGTCTGATAACTCTAAGTGCTGGGCAAATCCAATATAAATTTTGTCGATGACTTTACTTTACTTTTACGTAAATTTTCGTGCAAGTCCCCTGTACACTCTCTGAGTTTCAACTGCTATGTCATTTCTATTGATGCATCCAGTAATATGTTTTTAATAATTAGATGAATGACAATATTTGTGAATAAAAACATCAAATTAGTCTGTGTGTACTAGTATGTTTCCGTCTTCGTGTGAAATTAATTTTGCTTTTGGTAGATGTAATTAAATCTGTTAAGGGGATAAACAAACTATTCAACGAGACGTTAAGACGATGGAAATAGTGTTCATTGCTTTTTGTGTTGATAAAACGAGCGAGAGATTGACATGCATAAACATAAGTGTCTAGAATTGATGTAAACACGTACAGATGTTTGAACCCGTGTTAATAGCAATTGTCAATAATTTAAGATTCACTAGATGTTTTCTACGTGTTTTCATTGTAACAAAACATATTCTAAATTACATTTAGAGATTGTTACAGCGGGCACAAACTTTTGACTAAACTAGAGTACAACTGTGGTGCGATTGTCGATTGTTTCGCAGCCAATTCAACTGTCTAGTGGCACAACTGAAAATCGAGTAGTGTTCGCACCTCGAAGCTCATATGAACCAAAGCCAAACTATAGTTTAGTAAAGGTGTACGGACGCTCATAATGAGATTCATACAATGTTTTTATGTAAGTATTTTTATAATGAAATTCCACACTAACCTGTACGCATTGTCCGACGATGTTTTTCCGTTTAAATCCAGGTAAACCTTCATACCATATCGCTCCTAGTAGTTGTTGTACGTTTGGATGAGCGACAAACTGAAAAATCATTAGAATATTAGTAATAAAATACGATAGATATAACTTAGACTGTTTTAACAGTGGTAGAGTCTTCAATATTTTCGCACTAATTGGACGGTTCACTACAATACAATCACCACACAGAAAGAAAGCGTGAAGTAGAAGCAATTTCACGTTTTGTCTGATGAATATTTGTGCTGGAGGCCTATCCTAGTATCTTCATCTCTTCTATCTTATCTTATAAGGACAGGTTGAGATGTGAAAGAGAATTTGACAGACGCATAGAAAGAAAAGAATTCTCCTTTCTATTTTTAGAGTAATGAAAGGCTACGCATATGTAAATGTGTGTCTATGGGCAGCCACTTCGTTGTTTTAGCAAATTCGGTGGTCGATAGCTTGTTTGCCAACAGTTGTTCCGGCAGTAAGAACAAATAAAAACGTTTTCTACAAAGATCTCCATCAGTGAAGAAAAAATCAATTGATTCTCTTACCATTTTCTGTTTATATTTAATAGCTAACTTAAGACGTCCGAGCGTCTGCCGCTCGCCGGGCTCCCAACAGTCCAGATCCCAGGGGTTATAGTTGAGCATGATCTCCAGCTCCTGGGACGTGCGAGTGTGGTCCAGTAGGGACGTCGCGAACTCCTGACATTGCTGCCTTAATGCCTGTAAACGACGATCTGATAAAATTGCTTTGTCGAAATACAGTTGGTTATAAAAATCCTTATTCTACTAGAATCGATTCCAAAATAAAAACGGAAACACCAATACGTTTCATATAAGTCTAAAAACCCAACCAATAAGTTTCTACAGCTCTTAACAAGTACAGTATCACCCAACAAGAGGTCATCACATACGGAGGGTTGGCACAGTATGTGCTGTTCTTCCATACATAAGTATCTATCTCTGAATTCACTCCCTTAAGCTTATCCTCTTTCCCCACACAGAAGACAGGCGTGAAATGGAAGCAATCCGTGTTTCGTCTGATGAGTGTGGTGCCGGAGGCCTAATTTAAGTCCCTTTCTCTTTACCACCCTTTTCTTATAAAGAGAGGTTGGGAAGGGGAAGTGGATTTGACGGTGGATGAGATGCATAGGAAGGGGAAATGTCCTCTTTATGTGCGTCTCCTCCTCCGTCGTATAATGGTAGGCAACGCATATGCAATTGCGGATGTCTATGGGCAGCGGTCGCATCGCCATTTTGGCGGTTTTAGGTGGCCGCTTGCTCGTTTGCCACCTTATGTTATAAAAAAAAATCTATCCATACTTTCTTCGGTTTTCATTTAACATGAGGTAACTTTAGTATTTGACTAATTACAACTAACTGCTTCTGGTTTCTACCTTATATTCGACTCTGAATTCAGTCTCCATCCTACTGAGTCGGCCGAGCTCCCAAGAGAGTTGGAAGGCGGTGAGCAGGGGGTCCGCGGAGGAGAGCGCGATCAGAGAGGGCGCTGTGAGCGCGCGGTATGCGTTGATACGCGCCTGCGAGTGCCGCAGCGAGTCCTCCAGCTGTGATTTCACGCACTCGTCGCAGCCGCACCTGTACAATTCTGAACATTCTAAACACTGAAATGTTGGGCACTGCTATGTACTTCTATATTTTGGATACAAGACGCTGTCAATATGAAGAAAGTGTTTTAAAAGTTGAAAATTCACCAAATATGAAATGATCGTACTTCTAAAAACAATCTCTTTTAATATAGTTATAGGTTTAGAGCGTTACACCAGAAACTAAAGTGTCGCACAACTGCTTAATCTCGCTTTGATTCCTATGAGCTATATGGAGGTGGCACAATACTCAATTTTTAGTTGTGCAACTAAATTGTTGATTTGGCTGCGAAACAATCGACAATCGCACAAGAGTTTTATTTCTGTCGATTGTAATTAAGGATTTATAATGTGAGGGTCTGTTTGAGGAAAGGTCTGTACCTACTTGACGTCGTGTGGCACTGGCAAGGTGGCGCCTCTGTCGAGGAGGATCTTGAGTATCTCGTAATGGTTGCGGTGCGCGGCCAGGATCAGCGGCGTTATGTCCACCGTGAATGTTGCAGCCGAACTGTCTACTGATTCCCAACTCTATAACAATACGAACTATTTAGTTATGTACACTCTATATATTCATGACTCTATATTTAATTATCGAGCCGTACTGTCTATATAGCATTAGAAATCATCTAGATGTTGTACTTGTTTTTTAAGACGTTTGTATTCTTGGCAGTCGATTAGCAATTCTATTTAGATTTTATTAAGATCCATTTTATTCTGTACTAGCTGTTCCCGTGCGACTTCATCCGCATAAAATTGTGAAAATTTTGTTTTATTGTTTACTTGTGTCAAATTATCAATTGCAAATGTCAAAATGACATGCCGATGGCAACCTTGTGTCCTTGATGTTGGCAGCAACTTATGGTCCCTTTCCCACATTACAGTTTTTATCCAAAATATTTACACCCTAAGTTTAATGGCGTGAAAATATATAGCCTAAAGCGTGACGTAAGTGTAAGGCTTTTTATTAAAATAAGAATTAGTTATTCAAAAATATGCTGTAATTACTGACATCTTCGGCAACAAAGAAGTATGTGTTTACGCTTTATTATAATAGTACAGATTGACTCACATATGGTTCACCAGGGACGTGGTGTTCCTCCTCCCACTGCAGCAGCAGTTCAACCGCCTCCACGTATTCCTCTTTGATGGCATGTAAAAGTGCGTCCTACAAACAAAAGACAATAACAGAATCAACCTCAAGCTGTGTTAACCGTTCAATCTATGTTAGATTGAACGGCGTACGTACTTTATTTCGAGCTACACTTTTGCTAAGTTTTTAAAGCTTAACTTCTAAGCTGTTACATATTTAAAGGTAGTTTAAAATCAGGCTGATGTATTCAAGTGCATCGATTAACATGAAGTTGATATTTATTGAGTTACATAACTAACTTTGTCGTTCAAAGGTATCAGTATAATGCAATTAAATGCAGCCTTTGCACGGCCTACCGAAGGATGCGAATCACTCTCATCATAATCATATATAAAATATACATAAATATAAATATTTTAAATGCGAAAGTTACGATGGATGGATGGATGTTTGTTAGCGTTTGTAGCCTAAACAACCGAACGGATCGCCATGAAATTTGACACAGGTTTAGAGCATAGTCTGGTAGAAGACATAGGCTACTTTTTATCCCGGGAATAATTACGGTTCCCGTGGGATTCATTAATTTAGTTTTTTTTTCCTCGATCATTCTGCCTCGGTTCAACATATCTTATTGAAATTTGGCACAGATATAAAACAATGTCTGGAGTACACATGGGATAAGATTCCCCGAGAAATGTCCGGTTTCCAAGGGATACGTAGCTTTTTGTTATTTATATAGTTCGTATGTTTTCTACCACGCGGACGAAGTCGCGGGCAACAGCTAGTATCTAAATATTAGTTAACAAGCAGCTTAGAGCGGGCACAACTTTGACTAAACTATCCCACAACTGTTTAGTTGCGCTTTGATTTCTAAGAGCTTATATGGAGGTGCGCACATTACTCGATTTTTAGTTGTGCAACTAAACAATTGAATTGGCTGCGAAACAATCGACAATCGCACAGCAGTTGTGTGACCGTTTAATCAAAATGTGTGCGCACGCTCTTACGTAGATTTTTTCCATATAGCCATTAATTATTAACGATTATGACGTAAGTTTGATTTATAACGCTCATAATGTTTGTAATAAATTTTAATTTTGTTTATATTTAAATTTTAAAGAACTATCTTAACGCAGAATACTCAAACGAATTTTAAACACTACGCTTTGTGAGTATACAATCTGACAGAGAACATTTTAATGGAATTTGCAGTCGAAACGTCGTCTTATTTAAATATCGTTTCAGTACTTAGCTGGAAGCTTTTTTATCTGTTTTTAGTTTGTTATTTTCTAAGAGTTACTTCATTGTTAATTACTTTTTACCCGACTGAACAAGACTTGTCTGCTCTATTGTAATCCTTGTTTGATAATTTTAAACAAGGATTCACTCTTTCATTGTTCAGGGTTTATTATATTTAACTATAACACGTTTACAGAATTTCAGACATCTAGAAAAAAAGGTTGATTACGTACTAAAGTTGCCCTCATTTGTAGAAACGTAGGTTATTTATAGAACGCATGCTTGCAACTAAGCCGGAAAGCACGACTGATTGTAGGTACAATCAGGAAATCTGACAGTGTCCCACAATAAAATATAAAGTCTTATGAATATTTGATATATAGGACGCGAAACAATAACCAAAAACAAAAAATACGATTGTACAAAATACATCGGTCGGTACACACTGGTAATTGTTGAGTGCAAAATACAACCTTTTTTGGCTGACAAGCAGTACAAACACAGCCTAGGTTGCATACTGGCCACCAAGATATTTGAGTAGTGTCTTATTAAAAATAATAAAAGGAAAAGACTCATACAAGAGTCAAGATGTAATCGCGATATAGTTTTGTTAAATGATTTGTAAATATGAAAGTTGAAAGAAAGATGTTTAAGTTAGGAGAAAAGTTTTGTTTTGTATTTTTGGCTGCCGCGCTTTCTCTAACAAGTTGCTTTTAGATTATTTTGTTGTATGTGTAACTCACTGCCACTTAATTATTATTTACTAGCTGTTGTTTGCTTTCTATTAAAAAATCATAGCCTTATTTCTCACTGATATTGTAGCTTTTAAATGGTGTAAGATTTTTGTAATCGGCCAAGTAATTTTTGGTTTATTTCAATATACTCGTATACAAAAACACAAATCTTTCCTCTTTATAATAGTAGTATAGATATGGATAAGTGGCGGAATTTATCTCGTTGCAAGGAATAAGGCAATATTTCTGTAATTGGATTACCGTGTATTTCCGCGATTGTACCGTTACTGAGATTTTCTAACAGAGAATTTAAAATTCTATTTTTAAGAAGGTGACAATGTAGTTAACGATATGATATTGAGTTACGTAAATTAAAATATATACAAGTTTTAAATCTACGTTGATGTTATAAAGAGGAAAGATTGGAATATTTGTATGTATTGAAATAATTTAAAAACTATTGCCCGATTTTTAAATTTGTCACCATTCCCCAGTCACCAAAGCTCCTTGATCCCTGAGTAACATAGGCTATATCTTTTACAATTCATAATTTCACGTGGGAGAAGTCGCGAGAAACAATTAGTTATATGTAAAGTTTAATTTTTTCATATACTAACCTTGACCCGAATTAAAATTAAATGTAATTTACTAAAACAACTTTACTGGCTGCATGCACATAAAACTGTGGGCCGAACCAATTTACCTAATTTAGATAGAACCTTTGCCCTTGTTGAACATTATTGGATTTAAAACGATTTAATGGTAAATTAAAATTTGATTGCCCAAATAATAGCCTTATTATATGTTCCCTTGCGGCTTCATCCTCATGGTCCCACATTTAGGTTTTTCAATTTATTTACCCCCTTAGTTCAATAGCGTAAAAATCTATAGCCTAAAGCGTGTCGTAAGTGTATGGCTTTTTACTAAAGAAAGATTTATTCGAAAATATACTGCGTTTGCTGACATCCTACGCCACAAAGTAGTGTGTTTACGCTTTATTATATTAGTATACACTAGTATAGTAGTCTATACTAATATAATAAAGCGTAGTATATAATATATAACTTCATATAGAAAATAACTGTGCATATAAATTCTTGCTATCTAACTAAATGACGCACATTAAGAGTACAAATTTATAGACACTTTTAAATAGTTATTTTACTAAGGCTGTTTTTATTGCTATTTTTGGTTCTCCACAGACAAAGACGCGAACAAAAGCTAGTTATAGCAAAACACATAAAAATACAGTCATCCTTATAATTCTATGTAACAAATCCGATGACAATTTCTGTTAGTTTTAGCAGTGGAAATACAATTTTCATCTAAAAAGTAACCCTTTTTATGCATGTCCAAAGTAAGTCATATTTATGAATGAGATTCGAAGATAAAAAGACAAGTTTTATGAAAATATACGACCAAATATGCAAACTATCGATGGAAAGATTTCCCATAGGACAATAGTAAATGTAGAATTGTATTCTTTTTAGGAAATTGTTACAGAACTTTTTGCTTTTGTATCATAATCTAATGCAATGAAACATAAAAAAAAGTATTTTTGAAAATACATTTTCTACTATTTCGTACTAATAAAGTATAGTTAGAGAACACGCCTTTGACCTAGAAAGAGATGGATGGATTGCGTGAAAGGTGACATGATCAAGACGGGAGTGATGACTGAGATGACGTATAGAGTGTGGAGGACAAAAACCTGTTGCGACACTACGGGAGTAGGATAAGGAGAAAGATGATGACACGCCTTTGATTAAACTATCTGGATTGTCAATTGTTTCATAGCCATTCAACTGTTTAGTTGCACAACTGAAAATCGAGTAGTATGCGCCTCCATATAAGCTCCTAGGAATCAAAGCGAGACTAAACGTGTGTGCGATATTTTATTCAAAGGTGTGCGCGCGCTCTAAAACTTTTGTAGATAAAAATTAGAACTTCACTTAAATCGTTATGTTAAGAGTTTTGCCTACACTTGTATTATTTAACTGGACAGTTAGATATTCAGTTATAAAATGTTTATTAAAGTAATTGTCAAGTCCACAAATTTTTAACTTTTGTTTGAATATCAATTTATTTTGGTTGCTCTACCTCTGCTCTTTTGACCTACTTCAATCCCTTTTCCTTCCCATCCTTTTTCTTGTACGAAAAGCATGGTAAGGGAACGTGGATTTGACGGTGCAGAAGACGCATAGGAAGGGGAAATATCCTCTTTATGTGCGTCTCCTTATCCGTCGATCAAGGGTAGACAACGCATCCGCTATTGCGAATGTCTATGGGCAGAGGTCGCTTCGCTATTTAAGCGGATTCAGGTGTCCGCTTGCTCGTTTGCCACCTTATAATATAAAGAAATATACTTATTACATGCATATTTTTATCTCTGTTTTTTGTTAGAGAAAGAAAGGGATGTATATGTTTTTTAACAACTGCTTTACCTTTACTTTGATACCAGATGCTAGGAGAAGTTTTATTAGTTCAATGTTTTCGTTTTCAATTGCAGCGATTAGTGCAGATCTGTTGAGCGGGTCCACGCAGTTTATGTCGAGGATCTCCGGCGTTGATGCGTACTGGTCTATCAATCTAAAAAAGCATTAATTATTAAAATAATACTTAATCTAGCGTAATCTTTACTTATATTATAAAGAGTAAAGATTCGTAGTTTTGTATGTATTGTAACTCAAAAACTACTAAGCCGATTTGAAATATTTTTTCACCGTTAGAAAGGTATCTGTGAATAACATAGGAATAGTTTTTAACAGATGAAATCGTGAGCAACAGCTAGTAAGATAATAAGTAGCTAGTGTATATACTATTAGGGTATAAAACCATTTTGTTTTAATATGAGTAGAATTGTTATTAGTTTCTTACTATTATTGTAGTTATTTTTTAAAATTTGCACATTTTTAGATTTAACACACGGATTTTAAGGGTGGTTTCCACTGTATTCAAAGCTTCTATTGTAATTCGTCTCCTTTCAACACAAAGGGTATGTGAAATGTGAGAGTTCAATAAATAACAAATCGAATACACAGTATATGGGACACGGTCAGTGATAACGCAGCGGCGTGTAAGAATAAATAAGATTAAAGCTAACCTTGTAGTGATTCCCTGTACATTGGACGTGACTTATACGTGACTTGTAGTCACTTATATGTGACTTATAGACTGAATACAATACGATTCTTATCCGGCTTTTGGCCAGTCACTGTGAATATTTTTAAATCCTTATTCTGGATGTTTTGACGCATATTCTCAGATATTTTATTGTAACCTTTTGTGTCTGAGCGGCTATATTTTTTCTGAATGATTTTCATCACAGTTATTAATAACACATAATTGTCTGCAAATTGGTCCGCGCGGAGTTAGTTAATTTAATTGCCTATGAGTTCTTTTACAAATTTAAACAAGATTAGTTGAACCGTTCTGGAGATATAGTAAAATATCCATTTATTTAATACTAGCTGTTGCCCGCGACTTCGCCCACACAATATTGAATAAAAAGTAGCCTATATTATGCCCGTCTATGTCAGCTACCCTTCAGTGAAAGTTCGGTCGATATCGAGATTACCCGGAACAAACACGGCTTGCGGACAGACAGGCAAACAAAAAAAATTTTAATGCGATTTTCGTTATCAGCGACGCAAATACACCATCTGGTGTAAAAATCTCGAGTTTTTGTCTTGATATTACGAACAGACACTCCAATTTTATTATATGTCAAGAAGATGTTTTCTTGTCTAAATATTGCAATAACGGAAACTCGACGGAAATATTACGATATTGAAAAAAAATCCATAAAGGCTGAAACACACGATGGTAATGAAAATCACCGCTTAGTATCCCAACCGTGTGTAAAGTCGATCTGTAGTTATTGTTTACACAGTGACTTTGACCTGGTAGTCTGAGAGGATTACCCGGGGCTTCAGCGATAGTACAGCGTGCCGATTTAATGCCAGCCTTAGTGTCACGTGTGTCAACTGTTTTATTGTACAAGGAAACAATAGCTTCAATTTCATGCCTTTAACCTCATCCTAACTTTCTAGAAGATTCTTTAATCAGGTATATATTTTAGAATCTTTTCTGTATTAATCCAATAATATTTATCTAGCACATTGCCAGGGGAGGATAGTAGAAGGAGCTGCCCCCTAGATAATTGAAAAATGTAAAATCTAAAATTACTACGACAGATCTAAAAAACTACCCCATACCTAGATTTTATTAGGTCATGGTAAATGGTGTATCGCTGCTACAAGAATTTAGTGCTGATGGCAGCATTTAGCGACTACATATTTTACATACATTTTTTGTATGTCTCGTTCTGTGTATGGCAGTAAACTGATCGTATATAAACGCTTCATGCTGTCGCTAAAGATTATAAGAGTCTGTGCGTGGTACTTCTAACATACTTTTTAACAGTAGCGTAGTCTCCTCGATCTGCATTCAGTAGGAACGATTTCTCCTCTCTCGTGAGTGCCTTCTCGTAGACTTGTCGTAAGTCGTGCTGGCTGTTCCTGAGGGCTTCCTGGGAACTCCCCAGGAGCTCCTCCCTGGACCCCCGATTCATTCTTGCCTGGAACAAAATTGAAGTTACTGCTACATCGAACAATGAGAGAAGAAGATAAGGTTCTTTATTGGTGTTGGTCAATGGTCATGGTCAATGGTGATATGTCCTTTCAATGGTTATCTTGTAGTTTTAACATATTGATATATTTCAAACTGTAGGTCCACTACAAACGCACTGTTTTGATATTTTATCTAAAGTATATAGCTGGCTTAAGGTATCGTTGGATGTGTAGTGATTTAAAAAAATATAGACGTAGTAACCTCAACCAATCATACTTCATATTATTATTAATTAATGTTATAAATGCGAAAGTTTAGATGGATGAATGTTTGTTAGAGTTTGTAGCCTAAACGGCTGAACAGATTTCGATAAAATTTGGTATAGATGTAGAGAATAGTCTGGACGAACACATAGGCTACTTGCATTTGTTTTCTTTAGTTCCGCGCGGACGGATTCGCGGGCAAAAGCTCTTGATTACTAAAATTTTCAAGTGCGTTGTAGATTCATTTATTTTTTCTTGCAGTAACTGTAATTATGAGGTAATGAAAATGCTAGGAAGTGAACAAGGCTTTGAATTAATCAATAGAAGATATAGATGCATTTAAAGTTATGCAGATGTACGGCTTCCACTTTAATGTACCTTGAGTTTATAATCTTCTTTAAAGGTCGGGACAAAAGTAAACATGTAATTGTTTAGTTTTATTGTTAAAACACAACATAGGTAAATTGCAAAACCAACCCTAGGTTGACAAAATCGTTTAATTTCCACAAATTTATAGTCATGATAAAAAAAATAAAAGAAAACATGCAGACTTGCATACAGCTTTTGGGAACTGGGTCAAAAACTAACTTAATCGAATACTGAAATCTATTATAAACATTTCGTTTTATAAACGCAGTTTACAATTTGAAAAATGTCAAATGTTACTGAAATTTTGAGAAGCATGGCCTTGTCATTTAATGCTGGGTTTCTGAAGTTTTGGCTTATTTTGGCATTACCTAGCGCTTCATTAGTGTTAGTAACCTGTTTCAACGTAAAACTGAAGTTACGTAGCTCGGAAACGCATATCATTTATCGAACTAAATACACTAGTAGTAGTAGGGGCTACGGTTTCCGTAACTCCACGACTAGCGTACCAAAAACACTAACGAATGCTTAAACGTAGCTGAGAAACCGGGCATAAGACGCTCTTATTTAACCCTTAAATGCATGATGTATCTATACATCTGTCTTTTCTTCTTTAAACAGACTGTTTTGATAAAACATTTTTTTTTCTTTTTTTTCCCTTAATCTATCTTCAATTTACTACCCGTTTCAAATTGTGGTATTTAAAAAAAATCATGCAATTAAGAGTAAAATGTCGTTTTAATATTCTCCTATAAACAAATTAGAGTGAGTACGTATTAATTACCAGTTAGAGACCGCTGAACAGTTAATTAATAGGTGACAAAAATATTAACCCCTCGAGTATATTTGACAGTAGTGTAAATGTTTGTAAAACGCAAACACGAAGAGAGAGAGAGAAAGAGGTTACTCTTTCAGTATTGCTGCTAGGTTAGAATTATTTGTCTAAGTTCAAAATCTATACTAATATAAAGAGGAAAGATTTGTATTTTTGTATGTATTGAAATATCTCAAAAACTACTAGGCCGATTTTAAAAATTCTTTCATCGTTAGAAAGGTAATTTATCTGTGAGTAACATAGGCTACATTTTTTATTATTTTATAATTTCACGCGGGCGAAGTCGCAAGCAACAGCTAGTAATATTATAAATGTGAAAGTTTATATGGATGTTTGTTAAAGTTTATAGCCTAAATGGCTGAACGGATGTCGGTGAAATTTGGTACAGATGTAAAGAATAGTCTGGAAGAACACATAGACTAATGGATTTGTTATTAACAATTCAACTCTTAGAGTCGCAAGCGAAAGCTACTTTTGTATAATTAAAAAACGTAATTTATTAGTGTTTTATGTAGCGTTATATGTTTTTATCAAAATATACATACCAGTAATAACACGAATAGTAAATTAACTAAAAACTGCACACAAAAACTAAAAGTAACAAGCTTCTTATTGTGTTTTACAGGAAAATGTACGATCAAATCAAAGAGACGGGTATTACTGAAGAAAATTCTTATCAAGTAAATAGGGTAGTGGTAAATAAACAAAGGAACGTTTGAATATCATTACGTAGTTTGACAACAAACGAAACTATGTACGGTCCCTTTCACTCGTCTCCGAAAAATTGAGATAGCAAATATACTCTCACTAATGTACCGTACCACTGTTTCCGCACTAGGCGGTCCTTTTATCTGAAAACTGAATTTAAAAAATTAAAACAAAGATATAAATAAATAAATATATTAGCAATATAAATTGAAAAAAGAGTGTTAAAACGTTAAAATTAAAATGTAAAAAAATGAAAGAAAGTAAAAAAGGCTTTTTATTTTTATAATGTACCGTTGACTAGAATTCCAATAATCTCCCAACAAAATTAGTACTAATTTTATTTTCACGTCGACGAAACTATACTAATATTATAAAGAGGAAAGATTTGTATTTTTGTATGTTCAACACATACTAACGACTATAACTCAAAAAATACTGCTCCGATTTCAAAGATTCTTACACCATTAAAAAGCTACGTTAATACTGAGTTACATAGGCTATATTTATAAATGTGCACGAAGTTGCGAGCAACAGCTAGTCTATGCTTATATAATGTAGAGGAAAGATTTCTATTTTTGTATATATTGAAATAACTCAAAAACAACTAGGCCCGTTGCAAAAATTCTTTCACCATTAAAAAGCTACGTTATCATTGAGTAACATGTGCTACATTTTTATTATTTTTTTTTATTTCAAGGGGACGAAGTCGCGAGCAACAGCAAGTAATAAATAAAGAGGTTTTCAAGTAACAATACACTTCTAACATCTTTGTATGCTGAAAAATTGTAAGGTTGTGAACACATTTCGTAACGGGACAAAGCATTCTTGACAATGGGAAAGGTTGAACAGATAGAAATCTTAAGCATATCATGACGTAATATAATCCCAGCTGATTTATGTACCGAAGACCGTTTCCATGACTGATGTAGTTATTTTTGAACGGATTGTAGACTAGTTTTATCAAATTGTATTATAAAACTAGCTGTTCCCGTGCGGCTTCATCCGCATGACATTATGAAAATTTTATTTTATTGTTTATGTTTGTCATATTATCAATAGCAAATGTCAAAATGACATGACGTGACAAACTTTGGCAATCTTGCTTCCTTGGTGTTGGCAACAACTCATGGTCTCTTTCCCGCATTGGGGTTTTTATCCAAAATATTTACCCACTAAGTTTAATGGCGTGAAAATATATAGCCTAAAACGTGACGTAAGTGTAGGGCTTTTTATTAAAAAAGTAATTATTCAAAAATATGCTGTAATTGCTGACATCTTAGGCAACAAAGAAGTGTGTGTTTACGCTTTATTATAATGGTTTAAATTGTATATAGTGGCTTTTTCAAAGAAAATTATGTTGTTCTACGTAAAAAACTATTTGATAATCAAAATAATTTTAACAGATAGTAATAAGTTTTTCGGTATCAGATAGATTCAAGGTGAATAAAAGGATAATTATGCCAAAAAATGCGTTGTTTTCGAAAGATCTAAGTTTTTTTTTGTATGTAAGTACTCACTGTCGTGTTCATATCGAACCGGACGCGAACTTTCTTATCCTTTTTACGTTTCTTCATTTTTGTATTGTATTTTCACATAATTAAAAAAAACAACCACAAACAAATTCTACTTAAATCTAAAACAGATTGTAGATTTTCACATTTTTGAAATTAACTTTTAAACGTAAAAGACGATTCGAATTTCGTATTAAATATATTATCGAGACATTTCGCAGTTCACATCACTAACAGATCACAGAACAGTTGTATCTATTATAAAAGAGATATTTTTCACAAAGTACACAAACATGTTTGTATTGGATTTTATTAATCTGCGACGTATTGTTAGAGCTGTACGAATTTTAGTACTGCCCACGAGCAAACCGTGTTAGAACTGAAGTTTGACGGGCTATTTTTAAATTGATATATAGTTTTATGAATGACTGTTTGGATGACTCATATTGGCTGTATTGGACTTAAGGGAATTATAGGAACATCGAATGGTACAATTAATTATTAATTTTTACAGTTCTTTTGCAGTGAAATTGTAAAAATACAAATTTCATAGTTTAATATAATTCAGGATAAGATACGAAATGAGTATATTAGAGGAAGTTTGAGAGTAGCCCCAGTGGTTGAGAAAATAAGGAGTAAAAGGTGAGAGTGGTATGAGCATGTTATGAGAAGGGATGTAACAAGAAGGACGTTAGTTATGAATGTGGAGGGATACACCAGTAAAGGTAGACTTAGAAAGAGTTGGATGGATTGCGTGATGACATGATCAAGAAGGAAGTGATGACTGGGATGACGGATGATACAGTGCTTTTGAGGACGAAAACCCGGTGCGCCGACCCTACGGGAGTAGGATAAGGCAGGGGAGATGATGATAGTTTAGTTTAGTCATGCTAAAATTAAATTCTTACTAGAACTTTTTATTGTTATTTACATACTTTTTGTTAACGTGTTTAGGGTTTTCTTTTAATGTTTAATACCGTAAATGTAAAATACCGTTAGAAGTTATTTCCACGTGGTATTCTAATGGAATAAAAGGGATGGCAAATAAAATGTGGTTTTCCCTGATAGTGTTGGAAATTGCATTACAATTTGTGTTCAAAGCATAGCGTATTTTCATACTTTTAAACTGCTAGCTGTTGCTTGCGATTTCTTCAACTTGAAATTAAAAAAAAATCGACTGCGTAACTCAGTGATGACGTAGATGAATGGTGAAAGAATTTTTTAAATCTGCCCAGTAGTTTTGAGATATTTCAATTTATAAAAAAAATTAAAAAAGACAATTTTTTCCTTTTTATAACATTAGTATAGATTGATGTTTTTCTTTCTTTGTTATTGAGGCAGGTTGTGTTAAATTTAAGCATTGCAACAGACACTTTTGTGTAAAACTCAATACTTTCTTATGTCGGACACATGGCCGATTTATCTTTGATCGTGCACGGTGCTCAGAGCTTGTTTACGCAGTAAAAACGTCAAGCCCAAAACGACAGTTAACGTCTACGAATTAGGAATTTACAGTATACGTTGATTCGTTGAACGTTTACAGCATGCTTTATATTACGACTAGCTTTCGCCCGCGACTCCGTTTGCGTGGAATTAAAAAAAACAAAGCTGAGTACAGTATATGTTCTTCCAGACTATCCTCTACGTATATGCCAAATTTCATCGAAATCCATTCAGCCGTTTAGGCTACAAACTCTAACAAACATCTATCCATCTAAACTTTCTCATTTATAATATTAGTATGATTTAGTATAACACTATCTGTTAAATAATGACAATAGTAAATGCATGTCATTCCGGAGTGAAACACCAATGAAGTGTGACGTCACTAGTCATATCCAATCGTCTAGGTTACTGGAGTTGTCATTAGAAATGTCATACAAAAACTATAAGTAGGATAATAAGCATTACCAATCCGTGTTTGTCGGGTGAAAAAGGCACATTCAAGTAAAATTTAATAAACAAAATCCGACTTGAAGGACCAAAATACAAAGAATTACAATACTTTGATGCAGTCTCCTGTGTCAGTAAATAATGATGTCTAACAACAAAAAAGTATGTTAAACAGTTATTATTCCAAAAAAATCGTTAGACACTGTTTAGTTAAACACGTGTTTTAACTATGACTGCTGCTGAATAAATGGACGCCAACGTGGTTATGTGTTTGACTATAAAGATGACTTCTGCTTTCGGTATAAGTACTCTATTATTTTGTACAAATGAGCTACCGGAAATCTAGGCATAAAATGTTTTGAAAGATGTGATTTTAATTTGTCAAAAATCTTTTTAGTCGCTAGAGTCACATAGGGTTGACAAATTACGTTAAAATTTATTTGAAATCTATCTTTTTTATAGATCTAGAATGATCTAATCAAACTGCTATGATACGAAAAGCGGTCAGTCGAAATGTTTATATCAATATTCAGAGCGTCCATATGCCATTGCATTGCAATATATTTCACAAATCATAAAACTATACGAGTGAGTGATGTAACGACTTTGATACTATTTCAGAACATCCCGATGAGAAGCCAAATCTCTATCAGATACACGTGTTTATATTACAAAATATTGCATCGAATTGTAACCGTTTTCACTGCCGAAACATTTTATCTCATTGAAACAATAGACGTATGTCTTCGAACAGACTTTTTGACCGTGGAAACCGACGGTATCTTGCTCAATTGCTTGATAATTGATATAGAAATATAAAAGCTTTCGCCTGCGACTCCGTTTGCGTGGAATTAAAACAAAAGTAAGAAGCCTATGTCTTCTTCCAGAGTATCCTTTACATCTATATCAAATTTCTTCGAGATTAGTCGTCGTATATTTAGGCTACCTATATTTGTGTTTTTTTTTTTTAAATTACACGGGTACGGATTCGCCGGCGACAGCTAATATTATAAAGGGTCAATTTGCAAGATCAGTTTATGTGTTGAGTTCGTGATTTACTGAAAATTTGATGTTGAAATCTGGAATACTCAGAAAGTTGGTACTTCAACAGTGGTAGTGCCCGCTTTAACATCTTAGCACGAATGGGCCGGCACGCCCGGTGTAATACCACGACCACACAGAAGACAGGCGTGAAATGGAAGCAATTCCGTGTTTCGTCTGATGAGTGTGGTGCCGGAGGCCTAATTTAAGTCCCTTTCTCTTTACCACCCTTTTCTTATAAGGAGAGGTTGGGAAGGGAAAGTGGATTTGACGGTGGATGAGATGCATAGGAAGGGGAAATGTCCTCTTTATGCGCTTCTCCTCCTCCGTCGTATTATGGTAGGCAACGCATCTGCAATTGCGGATGTCTATGGGCAGCGGTCGCTTCGCCATTTTGGCGGTTTCAGGTGGCCGCTTGTTCGTTTGCCACCTTATGTTATAAAAAAAAACTTACCTTAAATAATTCGGTCAGGCACTAATTCATGTTTGCTTGTCACTTTGAGTTCCAGTTTAGTATTAGAAGTACCGAATTCCGTGTAGAATTACACTGGTGCGTTTTGTCGTGTCCTACGGGACACTGGTCAGACGATATGCTAAGTGAATACCACGTTAATCGAATTTTCAAAGAGGGCTCGTCGCAAGTTCACGTAGGGCTGTGACTGGGGAAAAGTTATCGATAGTTTTTTGCATGAAAGGTAATTAATATAATTTAGTACGCTATGTTATCAATACGAATTAATTGTAAATTTAACCAAATGTAATTCTTTATGTGTCTTCCATATTTTATTTGAGATATTATAGTTACTACCAATTTTACAATTATTACGCTTCCAGTAGACACAAACGTAATCATTTTTTCATACCGGTTGTACGAATTTCAGTGCTAGAACATGTATTTCATTATTAAATAATAAGTATACTAGTTTACCGTTTTTTGTGCTTTTCAGTCCTGTTAATTTGTATTTGGAACAGATAGGGAAACATCGATCCATGAATTTCGAAGCCATATTCGTAATTAATTAAAAAAATTAACAATTTAAGTATTTCATTTTTTTATTATCGATATTTCCGGGTGATATTCACAACACTAGTTGGCAAGCCACCGCTAATGCCATTAATGTAAGTCCGTCGGCGGCCACTGTGTCGATACGTATCATTTGTTTCGTATCGGAAACAACATGTCCGTGAAACGTGCCATTTAAATTGTACCTACGTTTTGCGTATCCATTTCGACATCGCCGAATTTATTGAACTAAATGTTATACTACTAAATGTTTATAAAGGCCGCTAAAGTTTTTACTGAACAGTCGACTTATCCAGTTTTACGTGTGTATGCAAGAGCAACTGTCAGTTGATCTGTTTTAAAGTTTGGCATACACACGCATTTCACCCAGGATCAGTTCGGTGGCTCAGTCAAAACTGTCAGTACTGAGCGTATTTAGCGGGTTTTAGTGTTGTTTTAACTCTTAGAAGTATGGTCACTAACTAATTAACTTCTTACTTTAAGGTTTTTTAATAATAGCGATATATGTCTGTTGAATAATAAAAGACAGTAATAAAGTGTAAACACACTACTTCGTTATAGTAATCAGATAGCAGCAACCAATCAAGCCGAGGTTCGGCGCTCTCGGGCACCCTTGAATCGGAAAGCTAAACGCGTATTGAGTGACAGCCCAAGCCGAGGTCCCCTCTCGGGGACCCTTGTGCTTAGTCACTCCATGGAGCGACCACCGAAGCGATCTAAGAGCTCGGTGGCCTCCCAATCCGGTAATAATAACGAAGTAACGGCCCGAGCCGAGGCTCCTGAGGGAGCCCTCGAGCCTAGTTACTCATAGACGAGGTTTAGGCTAAGCGCCATCTGCGCTCGGCCACCTCAAGCCCGGTGTATCTGTAAATGCCTCTTCAAGGCAAACTGTGACAACTCAGTCACAAAAAAAACTACTTCGTGGCGTAGGATGTCAGCATTCACAGCATATTTTCGAATAATCCTTTTTTTAATAAAAAGCCCTACACTTACGACGCGCCTTAGACTATATATTTTCACGCTATTTAGCTAGGGGTTTAAATGAATTGGAAAAAACCTTCATGTGGGAAAAGGACCATAAGCTACAAGCTGCCAACATTAAGAA